ACCCCCACGACCTCCAGACCAACAAAGGGCCTTTGTTCAGGAAGCCTCAAACCTCTTCCTGGGTCACACCTTCCCCACCTCCCACCCGTGCCCAACTAGGGGCTCCTACTCATTCCTGGCTTCCGGCCTGAGAGCCCACCTGGTCCACAGCCACATGGACAGGTGGTCAGCATGGTGGGTAGCCCTGGGGCAGGAAGGAAGGATGCGCCCACCTCTAGGCTGCTAGTCTGGTGGTGATTCGCCCAAAGGCGTCCACTCCTCCACACCGGACACAGGAGGGACAAAAGACTTTGGGTGACCAGGACTCGGCTCCAAACCTCAAACCATAGGGCCTATCTCCATCTGCAGCCAGCACGCTCTTTCCACACCCTCTACCCTGCCTCTCCGACAGCCACAGTAAATGTCTTTCCATGTCTTGAGAGCACCAAAGCCTTGTGTGTGGGTTTTCTTCCTGTGGAAGCTTCTTCTCCTGGTTACCTCCTAGTCATTATGCCCTACAGCTTCCCTCTGACCACTTATGGGCTGCTCTGGCATCTGACTTACCTCTTCCTAAAAACCTCTCTCTTAACATGATGATTCCCAGTTTATCTGATTGTGTGTGTATTAGTCGCTCAGTTGTGTCCGACTCTTTACCACCCCATGGACTGTAGCCAGCAGGCTCCTCTGTCCATGGGATTCTCCAGGCAAGAGTACCGGAGTGACTAGCCATTCCCTTCTCCAGGGGATCTTCCCTACCCAGGGATTGAACTCAGGTCTCCTGCACTGCAGGCAGATTTTTTATCGTCTGAGCCACCAGGGGAGTTCAATTTATCTGACTGCCTCTCTCCAAAGATTGTATGTTCCTCAAGGGCCAGCTTTCCTGTCTTGTTCAAGGTGACTTTCCCAGTGCTCTGACATGTACTCAGTACTTGGTATATATGGGCTTCCCGGGTGGCTCAGTGGGTAAAGAATTCACCTGCCAATGCAGGAGACATAGGGGACACAGTTTCCATCCCTGGGTCAGGAAGATTCCCTGGAGGAGGAAACGGCAACCCACTCCAGTATTCTTGCCTGGAGACTTCCATGGACAGAGGAGTCTGGTGGGTTACAGTCCATGGGGTCACAAAGAGTCAGATAGGACTTCAAGACTAAGCATACACCCACGTGGCATATATGTGTTGAGATCAAAAGAGATGAAAACTGTAATATGCAAACAATAAAAATCATTATTCTAAGAAGATAGGGCTGAGGTGGGGGGTCTACATGCAGTTAAGTTTTTCTCTGAAATTTTCTTTATCAGCCATCACCTGAGGTCAGCATCAGACACTGCAGGATGTTTTGTTTAGCTCTTAATAAGTGGATAGAAACAATATGCTTGAAAAAACCCCCAACTTTCTCAACTCATAAAATTAAAACAGGCAGTAAATGGAGCGTAACCCTTAAAAAATGTATAAAAAATATATGGCGAGAAAGACAATATCATATGATATTGCTTATTTCACAACCTAAAGAATTGATACAAATAACTTATTTACAAAGCAAATACAGATTCACAGACTTAGAGAATAAACTTATGGTTACCAAGAGGGGAAAGGGGGTAGGAATAGATTGGGAGTTTAGGATTGACATGTACACACTGCTATATTTAAAATAGAAAACCAGGGACTTCTCTGGTACGCCAGTGGCTAAGACTCTGTGCTCCCAGTGAAGGGGGTGTGGGTTTGATTCCTGGCTGGGGAGCTAAGATTCCATGTACCATGCGGCGTGGCCAAAAAAATAAATAAATAAAATAGGTAACAAACAAGGACCTACTATTAAAAAAAATGACTACATGGTAAAATACTATATACATGGAGGGATAAACAAATTAATAATAATAAGCCTTGAGGGGAAAAGAAACTACTCTTCAGAAGGAAATTTAAAGAATTTTTTAAAAGAATTTAAGCAAGTTTACAGAATAAAAGAAACTACTGAAAAAAGAAATTAAAATAGGCAGAGTCAACACAGGAATCTAGCCCAACACCCTTGGCTAGGTAATATAAAGAACTCAGAAGTCAATAAAATGAAATGTCACCAGGGACTTCACAGTTTAGGAGCCCGTGGTATGAGTACATCTTCCCTTTCACACCGATGCCAGCTGATCTAGTAAATAACCCTTGCAGAGGGTTCCGGAGAGTTTGAGTCTCTAAGGATACCTATCAGCAAGTCCTTCAGGAAGATTTAGGACAGTGACCCCCCACAGCTTCAATGGAGAAACAGGATAGGTTTGTTTTTTAAGGCACAATTCCCAATTCATGCTACCAAAAAAAAAAAAAATAGCCTTTGTTTTTTTTTTTTAACCAGTTGCCTTTCTAGGGGTGAAGACTTCCACCTGTAGGAACCCTAGCTTTCAGATGTAGTGGGCCTAGCATGAACACCTTTGCTCCTAGATGGCTTGGCAGTCTTAAGTTCTGGAAAATGGGGACAAAGATGAGCTGCTCAAGATCTTATCCCTTTGGGTGGCTCTCTGGTGCCCCCTTGTGTTCAGTGTCTGGACCCAGAAGAGCCAAAAGCAGCAGGAATGGCGTGAGGGTGGAAAGGCTGAGCCACTCTCCAGGACTGCCTGTGGCTAACGAGAAGTCAGCCCTCTCCAAAGCGGGCTCAAGCCCCTCTGCTGAGCACCTGGGATATCTTCCCAGCCCTGGTGGAAACACACTGGCCAGGGCAAATTGCCTAGAACTGGACAGGTGGAAGCAGTGCTCAAGGTCACCCAGTGGCCTCCACTTAGGGAGATGGATCGTAGTGTCCTTCCTGCCAGGTGTTTGGCTAGTGGGCTTTTCCTCCTGACTCAGTGCCCAGGCCAGAGGCACTTGTAGCCTCTTAAAAAAAAAAACAGACATTGACCGCTCTGCTGAAGACAGCTTGAGCCCCCGAGGGGTCATTGCAAAGCAGTTCTGAATGTGCTAAGTCAGTGGGTGGTAATGAGCACAGTGTGCCTAGGAGAGGCACGTCCAGCCCTCAGCCGTAAATAGTCCTTAACGGGCTGACACAGGAGGCCTGGCAATGGCTCCTCCTCCTCGCCCGTCCGCCTATTCCCCCTGACTCCCACCCCGGGGCTCTGCCATCCTAGCCAGATCACCAAATCATCATGCCGGGACCATGGCATCTCTAGTGTGGGACTGTAGGGCTGAGGCCAAGTTTCCAGGATCTGTTCTGGCCATAGAACAGGGCTCTCCCAGCAGCCCCAACAGGAGCATTTGTTCCTGGTTAGATCTTGACCCCCCATCATGCAGGCTGAGTCACATGAGTCACATGAATGTTCACTGTGACTCTCTAAGCCCTGGTCTCTTCGTTGGCCAAAGGAAGACCTCAGGCCTTACGCTCGCCGCCCACCCACCCACCCCCCCCCCCCCCGAATCTAGGGATTTTAGAGAACTGAATATGTTGATAAATCTAACAGATGCCTTCTTACCTATAAGCCTTTGCACTTGCTGTTCCCACTGCCTGGAACAGTTTTCTTCCTCATCTCCTTCTCTAGTCTGACACCTCTTTATCTTCAGCCTCAGTTTAGACTTCTCCAGGAACTCTTCTAGGGCTTCCCTCATAGCTCAGTTGGTAAAGAATCTGCCTGCAATGCAGGAGACCTGGGTTTGATTCCTGGGTCAGGAAGAACCCCTGGAGAGTCCCATGGTCAGAGGATCCTGGCAGGCTATAGTCCATGGGGTCGCAAGAGTCGGACACGACTTAGCAACTAAACCAATACCAACAGCAGGAACCTTTCTCTGGCCCCCTGAGCCTGGGCTTGGTCCCCTCCAGGGGTTCCCACAACCCCTTTCATGTCCGAGTCCCACTGCTGGCTCAGGTCCACTGCAGGTGTCCCAGATGTGGCCATGCCATGCGGCCACCAGCTATTCTGACTGACTCTTCACTTGAACCCCATGGGGCAAGTACAGGAATCACATCTACCTTATCCAACTCAACATTGGGAGGGCCTGGTACAGTGCCTGCCACGTAGTAGGTACTCAATAAATATGCATTGAGAATAGTAGATGGGCTCAGAATGAAATAAAGGCTGGGGCTGGAGGGTAGAGGCCAAGTCAGGAAGGCAGCTAAGGAGACAGGCGCACATCACGGTGTGTCCATGTTCTGCACCACTGCCCACTGCCTGGCACATCAGTCCTGGAAGCCCCAGAGCATGGGCCAGTGAGGTCTCTGCCTGCCGCTCAGTGCTCTGAACAGAGCTCAAGCTGGGATCCCAAGGACAAGGCCTGCTCTGTCCTAGCTCAACCATAGAAACTCTGCTTTTATTCTTTTGAGTCTGGGTTTCTCATTGTCTTTGTACTTAAAAAATCTAGTTCTATAATTCAAAAGAAGAATGAGAACGAGAAACTTAAATACCACTGATTTCTTCATCCCATGCCCTCATTTTAGAGATGAACAGAGGCGCAGAGAGGACATGGAGACTTCCCCAAGATCACACAGTTCAGTGTCAGAGTAGGAAGACAGACCCTGAATCCTCAACTCCTTAGATACTTTCCAGAGGGTAGAGGGAGGTGGTGGGATTGTTATTTGGAGTGAGGTGCTGAGGATCTGAGAGGAGACTGTGTGTGTGTATACTCTGTCATGTCTGACTCTGCAACCCTGTGGACTGTAGCCTGCCAGGCTCCTCTGTCCATGGAATTCTCCAGGCAAGAATACTGGAGGGGTTTGCCATTTCCTCTTCCAGGGATCTTCCTGATCCAGGGATTGAACCTGCATCTCCTGTGTCTCCTCATTGCAGGTGGATTCTTTATCTGCTGAGCCCTCTGGGAAGCCCATGAGAGGATACTGAGCAGACACAAAAGGTCCCCAGAGTGGAATGTGCCCCTCTGTGGCATCATACATCCCTGCCCCTGCCACCCTGAGCTAGCCCCCCTCAGAGGCGGGAAGCAGAGGGGTACAGGAGGAGCCCCAGGGGGTGTGACCAACAGAGCTCATGTTTAGGGGCTCTCAACAGCCAAGGCCCACATGCCAGCTGATTCTCTGCCTGGTGGCCCTGACAGCAGTCCCCCCGGATTACTGTCTTTCAGGCCATGGTGGGCTGAACCAGCTGGGAGGGGCCTTTGTGAATGGCAGACCCCTGCCTGAAGTGGTGCGTCAGCGCATCGTGGACCTAGCCCACCAGGGCGTGAGGCCTTGCGACATCTCCCGCCAGCTCCGTGTCAGCCATGGCTGTGTCAGCAAGATCCTTGGCAGGTAAGCACAAAATTCACCCCCACCCCCCCTCCCAGGGACTCGGGTCCACTCCGTTGTCCGGCCTGGGTCCCAGGACAGGATGTGGTAGGGCTTCCGGGCCTCGCCCATCTGCTGCTCATCTGTGTGGTTTCCTGCTCTTCCTTCCTCCCTCGTCCATTTCTCCTTCCTTTCCTTTCTCCCCATGGTTTCCTCTGCCCCACGTCCCGTTTTCTACAGGCTTCTTTGTTCCTAAGGCAGAAGAATCTTCCCCAAAGGCTTTCCCTCTGCTGAGACCAAGGGATGGAGATAAGTTTGAGCAAACTCTGAGAGGTGGTGAAGGACAGGGAAGCCTGGCATGCTGCAGTCCTTGGAGTTGCAGAGTCAGACATGACTGAGCGACTCAACAGCAATGAGGGGGATGGGACACACAATCAGAGGTGGCTCCTGAGGTCTTGCTCCAGCACGAGGGGTGTCTGAGTTTGTGCTTCTCAAACTGTAACTCTCAGAGCTCTTGCAATAGAAGCACTGCAGTGTTTTGATGAAATGCAGATCCTAAGCCTCAGACCAGGCCCATGGCAGCACCCTCTCTGGGAGCCAGATCTGGACACCGTGATTTTTATGAGATGACCAGGTGACGCTTACGAATGCTAACTCTGGAGCAGCAGTTCACGACCCTGGCCGCACAGTAGAGTCATCTGGCGAATCTTAATTTAGAAAAGACATGGATGTCTTAAGCCCCAGCCCATACCAGTTAAGGCAGAACTTTAGGGGAATGAGCCCAAGTTTGGGTATAGTGTTAAGCCCTAAGATTCTAATTTTCTGCAGCCAGAGTTAAGAACCATTAACCTAAAGGTTCAGGAGGGACCAGGAGCAGCAAAGGGTAGTCCAGCCTAGAAGACCACTTCCTGTGGAAGTGCCCATGCGCAGGGTTTTCTGGGCTTTGTGTCAGTTCAGTATCTCCCTTACCCAACCCATAAGTGAGATTCAGGAGGATTTCTGGTTCAAAGAGATCAAGGCCTGTAATTGGACGTGGGAAGCCCTGCCTCCCTGGTGGAAGTCATCAAGGAAAATTGTTGTCCCCAGGTCTCCTGGGGTCAGGAGAGGGGTTTCTCAGGTGGGTTGCAGCACCCCAAGAGGGGCTGAGTGCTAGTGGATGGTGACACCCATAAGGGAGTATTAAAGAGCCAGGTTTTCTTTCATGGCAGAAGAGACCAGAGTTTCCCCAAGGAGGAGAGGTAGGCTATCCTGACATAGGTCACTGATCTGCCTAAGCAGCTGGTTGGGGGATGGGAAATGGGGGGTGGGGAGACCCCGAGAGAGCTGGCTTGGCTTAGGGAGCTGGACATGGCCAGGGCTCCAAGCCAGGCTGGCGTTCCAGAGTCCATGAGGACCAGCTTCAACCTGAACCATGTAACCTGGTGGAAAACCAGTGGCCGGGGCTGTGGGGTGGGGTGGAGGGGGGTTGGAGGGGTTTTATGGAGAACAAAGGTGAAACCGGAAAGTCAGGGCAGAGGGCCCATTGACCCCAGCTGGCTTTCTGGGGAAGGAGGGGTAGAAACAGGATGGTCAAAAACAGTCAGTCATGCTTCAGCCAAGAAAAACTGGATGGAGCAAATGGCCACCACCTTGAGCCTGTTTATACACACAGAGCACACTCAAAATGTCCTTTCTTAGAAGGGCAATCTCTTGTGCTGCATAAGGTGTTTCCTGAAGGTGTTCAGGTGCAGGAGATTGGCCAGAGGGATGACTGGAAAGAGAGAAACCAGGCATCCCAGAGTGAGGCCTTTTGAAGAATGTTCTGGTTCAGCAGCAGCATAAACCTACCCATGCAAGGGAACCAGGCAGTGACAGGAACATGGTGTCAGAGACCAGCCTTGGGGGTCACCGTTCACCCCCTCAGGCCCTTCCCCAAGAAGCCTCAGAGGGGAACGAGAGTCTCTGGCTAATTTGCTGCCCAAAGATCCCCACCCGCTTACTGGGTACTTCTTTGGGGTTCTCTATTGGAGTAGGTACTACGAGACTGGCAGCATCAGGCCTGGAGTGATAGGGGGCTCAAAGCCTAAGGTGGCCACCCCCAAGGTGGTGGAGAAGATCGGGGACTACAAGCGGCAGAACCCAACCATGTTCGCCTGGGAGATCCGAGACCGGCTCCTGGCTGAGGGTGTCTGTGACAACGACACTGTGCCCAGTGTCAGCTCCATTAACAGGTGAGAGGGACACCGCAGCCGGGGACTGAAGCACCTGGGCTTTGGGGGACTCATGATGGAGACCCGACTTGAGTGGAACAGAGCCTGGGAGGGGGCTGCATGCTGAAAAGTCAGGCTGGAAGTGCCCTGGGCCCAGGGTAGGTACCACACCTCTGTAGCATCCCAACTCCCACCTCAACCTATCCCCCTCCCCAGGGCTGTACTCTCTGTAGTTTTCTTCCCCACATAGCACATCCTCTTTCATTCAATAAAAGAAACTTCTTCTTGAATCAAGCCTTTCCTGCATGAGACACAAGACCCCTAACCTGGACCTCATTCAAGCATCCACTCATTTGTTTAGTCATTCAGTCATTCAGTCACCACCTCAGTCAGTTATTCACTCACTCATTCATTCACACATAATTTACTCATATGTAGGCCCTAAGGCTAGAGTAGGAAATGGCAACCCACTCCAGTATTCTTGCTTGGAACTCCCATGGACAGAGGAACATACAGTCCATCAGGTTGCAAAGAGTTGGACACGACTGAAATGACTTAGCACACGCGTACGCCCTGAGGATGCCCAAGTCTTGTCTGTGTGGCACTTACAGTCCAGTGGGAAAACAGACACTAATCAAGTCCTAATTGATGTCCACACAAACAACGGTAAAAATGCAGTTCTCAGTCTAGCTAAGGAGAAAAATATGAGGGTATTGAGCTGTTGTCAGGTGGCTTGGTTTAGGGAGGTTATGAAAAGATGTCCCAAGTAAGAAATAACAAATAAGAGTTACCTAGGTGAAAGGGGGAGTGAAAGGAGCTTGAGATAGCATGTGCAAGGGCCCTGTGGCTAATAAGATCTTATACAAGAAGTTGAAAGAGGGAAGTCCCTGGCAGTCCAGTGGTTAAGACTCTGCACTTTCACTTCTAAGGGCCTGAGTTTGATCCCTGGTTGGGAAACTAAGATCCCACAAGCCGCATAGCGTGGCCAAAAGAAAAGAAAAGCTGAAAAGAAAGCCAGTAGGTAAAGGGAAGGGGAGAGAACAAGGTAGACTGAGGTGGAGATGTGAATAAAGGCTGTTTGCCCCTCAGAGGCCGGTGATAATGCTGTGTACCTCTCACCTATAAGCAGTGGCAAGAACCTTAGCATGAGATGTTAGCCATGAGACTGACTTGCATTTCAGAAAGTCCAGTCTGGCTGCAATAGAAAGAAAAGATTAGAAATGGTCAAGAGCAGATAGGAGTGGGCCAGTGAGTGACCCTGGAGGTAGAGTTTAGTGGTGGCAGTGAGATACAGAAAGGGATCAATGTTGAAGAGAGTTACGAGGTCAAATCTACCGAACCTGATGACGGCTCAATGGAGGAGGGAGGGAGGCAGATACTGAGCCCCACCTGTACTTCTGCCTTGAGTGACCGGTGGGCTAATCGTGGAACGGGAACAGTGGGAAGGACCAGGCGTGAGGAGTAAGGTCGTGGGTTTGAGTGTGGACAGGTTGAGTTTGCGGCTTCCTGGATGGCTCAGTGGGTAAAGAATCCGCCTGCAATGCAGGAGACTCAAGTTCAATCCCTGCGTCAGGAAGGTCCCCTGGAGGAGGAAATGGCAACTCACTGTAGTATTCTTGCTTGGAAAATCCCATGGACAGAGGAGCCTGGTGGGCTATAGTCCACGGGGTTGTAAAGAGTTGGATGCAATTTAGCCACTAAAAGAACAATGGGCTGAGTTTGAGGTGTCTATAGATACTCAAGTGGGATCTCAAAAAGGTGGATGGAGCTGGGGCAGCCAGAAGCCCTGTCTCCTTCTGCTATAAGGGCCTTTCTTCCCTTCCTTACAGAATCATCCGGACTAAAGTGCAGCAGCCATTCAACCTTCCCATGGACAGCTGCGTGGCCACCAAGTCCCTGAGCCCAGGACACACGCTGAGTGAGTGCCGAGGGTCCCACAGTCACACTCAGCCCCTTGCATACACACTCCCATCCATGTACACACACAGAGTCGCACACAAACATGTCTACACAGACACACCCGTGTGTTCAAACTGAGCCCAAACCTGGCTGGAATCCCAGGGAAGGTTTTCTGAAATGTTTAGGGCTGGAAACAACGCAGGCTAGAACCCTGGCACCAGTAGGCAGGGCCCCTGACTCCTCTGCGGTGGTGGCAGGGGCTCTGAGGGGTGTCAGGCCCACATCCTGACCCTCTGTCTTGCCCCACTTCAGTCCCCAGCTCAGCTGTGACGCCCCCAGAATCTCCGCAGTCGGACTCTCTGGGTTCTACTTACTCCATCAATGGGCTCCTGGGGATCGCCCAGCCTGGCAGCGACAGCAAGAGGAAGATGGATGACAGTGAGTGTTGGGGGGACCAGAGGGAAGGTTGGGGGTGCAGGAGGGCAGCTGCTCAGACAGGGCTTCTCTGGTGGCTCAGGTGGTAAAAAAATCCGCCTGCAATGCAGGAGACATGGGTTTGATCCCTGGGTCAGGAAGATCCCCTGGAGGAGGGCATAGCTACCCACTTCATTGTTTTTGCTTGGAAAATCCCATGAACAGAGGAGCCTGGTGGGCTACAGTCCTTGGGGTCACAAAGAGTCAGACATGACTGAGTGACTAATACTACTGCTGCTGATGAGACAGAGACCCCCTTGGGCCCAGGACTTTGTGGGTTGTCTCTAAGCCACCCGGAAGTCTCGCTCTTCCCTCTTCCCAAGTGAGTCTGCTTCCCCACTCTGGCCTGGGCGATGGGTCGACAAGCCCCCTGAAAGCTTTCTCCTTGCCGGGGGACGCCTGCCAGGTGACCAGGACAGCTGCCGGCTGAGCATTGACTCCCAGAGCAGCAGCAGCGGGCCCCGCAAACACCTCCGCACGGACACCTTCAGCCAGCACCACCTCGAGTCGCTTGAATGCCCCTTTGATCGGCAGCACTACCCGGAGGCCTACGCCTCCCCCAGCCACACCAAAGGCGAGCAGGTGAGGGGCCAGCCGGGCACGGGAGGCGAGCAGACAGGTGGGAGGGTGGGGGGAGGGCAGAGCAAGACATGGTCTCTGAAAGCTCCCTAATCAACTGGCAATTCTAGAAGCAACTAGAAGTTGCTTGATGGGCTCAGGGCACGTGCTTCCAGCAGCTCCAAGGCTGTCATGGCATTATTTCATTAGATGCTTGCAGCATCTTCCTGCTCATCCTTCCGGCCCCCTGCCTTCCCTCACCTGTAGCCTCTGAGCTTAGAGCAATGCAACCAACCGTGCCATCCCCCTGCCACAGTGTCTCCCCCAGATAGCAGGGTCAGGTCCTACAGCAATAAAGTCGTAGCTCCAGCCTTCACAGCGTGACCTCCACCAGCACCTGCAGCCCCGCCTCGAGCCACTCACTCCTCCCCACCCCTGTGCCTGCCATGCTCACGCTCCTCTCGTTCACACCTCTCTGCCCCGGCACACGGTGTGCCCTCCTCGCTGAATGCCTTCCTCCCACTTCTCTGCCTGGAAAAGTACTGCTCGGCTAGTATGACTCAGCTCAGGCATCACCTGGTCCATGAATTCTTCCCTGCCCCTCAGACACGCTTCACTTCTACTCTCCCAGACTTTTGCATGTCTGGGGTGGGAGGGGCCGCTCCCCAGAACTCATGGGGTAGTGTCACTGCCTGGCGGACAGAGATGTCAAGATATAGCACATTTCTTGAGCACAGCATCTCAAGGCATCTTTTTTACCTCCAGCATCTCCCACTGTACCCCTCTAACAGATGCTCAATAAAGGTAGAGTAAATGCAATAGAAATGCAGCCTGAGAAATGAGAAATGCAAGCTACAAGCAAAGTTTTATTCCCAGTGTTCAGGACAGGTGAAATGGCTTATCAGGGGTTGGCTTCTATGAAAAACTGGCAGAGATGACCAAAGTGTCTCCAGGAGCCAAAAAATGACTCTACACCTCTGTTAATTATCTTCTGTCAACACCACAGCCTCAGTGTCTTCCCCATCCCCCAACCCAACACCATCAATCAACTGAGGATTTTCTCTAGACAGGTGTCTGCTCACCCCTCTTGGCTCAAGGTGTCATCTGAGCCAGGAGTGAGGCGAGCCCATATACCTTTAAGATCTGAGCAGCATAATGGTGACGATGCCAGTCACCAGCTGAACCACTGCCAGTGACTGTCTGGGCGGCTGGGCCCTTGCCAACAACGCAGCTGGTCAGGCAATCTGCGTCAGCGATTTTATCAGCCTGGGCTGTGGCAACCAGGAGGGCTTCAGAGAAGGCTGGCCGTCAGCAGACCTGGGGAGAGGGCAGGGCAATCAGCCACAAGTCAGCACATGGCTCCCCAGGCCCGGGTTGACTGGGCAGGAGGGGAATGGGGCCACAGCAGTGGGTCTGCCAGGAACCTGCTGTGAGACATGGACCCAATACAACTCACTATCCTGGTAGAGAAACCTTGTTGCTGAGACTCACTGGGTTGTGCAGAACCATTCCTGAGCCTCAAGAACTGGGCAGCTTGTGACTCTTCACATAATTTTAAAATAGCTATTTATTGAACATGTGTGTTACTAAGCATTTTGTGCTAAGTGTTTAATGTAGGTATATAAAATCTCCTTTAATCCTTGTATTGGCCTTGTAAAGCAGCTCTATTGTCCCTGTTACAGAGGTGAGAAAACCAAGGCTCAGAGAGGTCAAGGAGACTACAGCTACTAAACCAGTCATTGCAGAACAAGAGCTCAGACTTGTCCAAGTCATGAGGAATTGTGCCCTCTGCACCCCAATTCAAGTCCAAACCCAATAAGAAATCCAATCATCCTTGAGATGTTTAAGGCATTTGGAGTAACGTAACTGAAATGTCTGATTTATAGGTTTGTTTGTTTTTCACCGAATTGTTAGATTTTGGAGAGCTATAGGATTTTGAGGTGTGATTTCCCTGGTGGCTCGCTTCCCTTGTGGCTCAGCTGGTAAAGAATCCGCCTGCAATGCGGGAGACCTGGGTTCGATCCCTGGGTTGGGAAGATCCCCTGGAGAAGGGAGCAGCGACTCCTCACTCCAGTACTCTGACCTGGAGAATTCCATGGACTGTATAGTCCGTGGGGTCACAGAGAGTCAGACACGACTGAGCGGCTTTCACCTCCCTGGTGGCTCAGATGGCAAAGAATCTGCCTGCAATGCAGGAGACCTGGGTTCAACCCCCGGGTCGGGAAGAACCCCTGGAGAAGGGAAGGGCAACCAACTCCAGTATCCTTGCCTGGAGAATTCCACGCTCAGAGAGCCTGGTGAGCTACAGTTCATAGGGTCGCAGACTGTTGGAAATGACTGAGTAACTAACACCACCAGGATATTGAGGAGGTATTTTATGTCAGATCAACATGTCCACAGAACATTTTAAACTTTTCTTATACTTTCTAGAAATCAGGCATTTTGTTCAATTTCATGAAACCAGGCTCTGAGTAAAAGCAGGAAGCCCCCCTCAGAAGGTGTAGAACCAGAGTACCATTTAGTCAGTAATTGCTGCTACAAGATAATGGTGCCCTTGTGGTCTCCAGAGTTGACTGCAACTTCCGTAAGTGCTGGGCATGCAACCAGAAACTGCTGTGGCTCCTTGGAGAACCCAGCTCAAATCACTGAAAGCAATTGCCTTTAGAGAGCTGTTATATAACCACGGAGCACAAATCTTGATTTCAGTTTTTGCACACTGGTTCACAGAGCACATTGGTGACATGTGTGATCAGCACATGTGTGCTGTTTTGTGGCCTGGTGGGAGGGTATCATGATGAGGTGTGATGTACCCTTGCCTTTAATTGAACAAATTCTTCTTGGAAGAAGCATTGGAGGAGATGGCCCACTCATGTCAGAGGAGGCTCAGTGAAGTCTAAAATGAGGTTCACAAAGAAAACCCCCGGGGTTACTTGATAAAGAATTTTTAAACAAAAGTAACCACAAATATCATCTTCAAGCTGAATGTGCACATTTATATTTGCTTGGATACGGAGAGAGGGGGGAGAAGTCTACCTATTTTGCTTGGGTGTCAGGTCTGTCCTTTTACTGAAGGAGAGAGCGCAGGGGTCAGGATCCGATGGCCTCGATTTAGACTCCATTTCATACTCACCTAGGACATTCACCTCTCTGGTCTTCAGGCTCTCAGCATCTCAGACATAATATTGCTTGCCCACATCACAGGGCTGTTGGGAGCAATGGATCAGGATAATACAGGCAACGTCTAATGCCTGCTCTCTTTATCTGTAAGATGTGGTCATGATGTTATCCACCACAGAGCAGTGGTTGAGAACATAGGTCCTGGAGTCAGACCAGGGGAGTGTGACTTCTGTGGCAGTGTGAGAAGTGTCTGGACCAGCTCTGTGCCTGTGTTTCCCATCTGGAGAATATTTTAATGAAAGGAGGAGATCACCCTGAACAGTCCCACCTGCTAACTGCCCCAGCCCTGCATCTTGCTCTCCGTGGGCCCAGACAGGGTGAGGAAACCAGGAAGAAGCCCAGCATCCAGCCAGGGCGTGGTCCTTGGAAGGACCCACACTTTTCTGTGTCTGGCGCTGTTGCCGCCAGCCAGCCTTGAATTACAGAGCTGCCAGAGGGCGAGTTCTGCCCTTAGAACTCAGAGAAAAACAGAAGGGCTGTGAATCAGAGCATAAGAACTGATCAAACAGACTAAGTGGAGTCAAGACTGAGCCGGAAGAGGGGACAGAGGAAGGGGGTATTTTCTAGGGGGAGCCGGCTGGCGGGGATGAGGGCGGGTCTTTAAAAGGAGAGCCTGCTGCCCGCAGCCTCTGTGCGCTCACTTCTTCTTGTTCCTCAGGGTCTTTACCCGCTGCCCTTGCTCAACAGCGCCCTGGACGACGGGAAGGCCACCCTGACCCCCTCCAATACACCCTTGGGGCGCAACCTCTCGACTCATCAGACCTACCCCGTGGTGGCAGGTACGATGCCCAGAATCTCCTGGGCCATGCGGGGGCCGGCTGGCGGGCAGAGCTGGCTGGTGGAGAGGAGGAAGGCGTTAGGGCCCTGGGCCTGGAGAGGAGAGGGGGCCTCTGCTGGCCGGTCAGCAGGTGGGTCGAGAGGGCCTCGCCTTCTATCCTCGGCCCTTTCTCCGCCTGCCCCCCAGCGCGGGGCACACGCAACCTGCGTCTACACTCACAGAGGCACGGCAGGAGGCAGAAGTGCCCTCTCACCTCCTCCCCCCACCTGAGTGACACCGCGTAGCCCCGCCCACTCCCCCAATCCCGCCTCAGGGAGGAGCCCGCCCGCGCCTCGCCGCCCCGCCCCTCCCGCATCTCATGGCTTGGTTTGTGCATGTTCCCGCCCCATCATCTCACACCCCTCTCTCCTTGTTGTCTCCCTCCCTCCGGCAGATCCTCATTCACCCTTCGCCATAAAGCAGGAAACCCCCGAGGTGTCCAGTTCTAGCTCCACCCCTTCCTCTTTATCTAGCTCCGTCTTTTTGGATCTGCAGCAAGTCGGCTCCGGGGTCCCAGCCGGTGCCTCGGTCCCGCCCTTCAATGCCTTTCCCCATGCTGCCTCCGTGTACGGGCAGTTCACGGGCCAGGCCCTCCTCTCAGGTACGACAGGGAGGTCCCGGGCCATACAGCCATCGCGGGGGGCGGGAGGGGGAGTCCTCACGGCCGGCCGCCAGTTCCCTACTTTGGGTCTAGCCGCTACTCTCTCCCCGAGTCCTCTCCACCACCATCCTCTTCCCTCATTCCTCCGGCCACTTTTGGGGGCGCCAAGATGCGGTCCTCCATGCCTGCAGAGTCAGGCCGTGGGAGGGACAGGCACTCTGGGGGGTACTTGGAAGTGGGGGTGCCTGCTGGATTTCCAAAACCTTGCCCCAAAGCCCCATGACAGTGCCAGAACCCTAAGACCAGGAGCCAGACTCAGTAAAGTCCCAAACCCTTGGTCTGGGTAAAAAATGCAAAAGAAGAAAAAAAGAAAACTCTGGAGGGAGAAAGGCATTGGCTTTGGGGGCCAAATTCTGGATCAAATTTCTAAGGATGGAGGGTCAGTCCCAATTGGGTCCCCATAGTGTAACTCTCGTGTCCCTAGCTTAAGTGTTTCTCTTGGAGGACACTCAGGCAGAGTGACTCACCAACCCAAGAGATGGGGAACCAGGGACTTTTCATCAAGACCCTCATCCAACTCAAGGCTGGAAGCACCTTAGGGACATTTAGTTTAAATCTCTCCTTACACTGGTGGGCAACAGGCCCAGGCAGAAAGACCCGGCCAAAATCCCTGAATAGGAACATGGTGACATGTCAGCTTGCGTGCACCCTGTGGATCAGATCCCAGCAGAGCTGAGTCTCCCTGGCAGAAAGACATTGGCCCGTCCAGACAAACTCTGAGCAGCGGCTGAAAAAGTCAGAGGTGTTTGGCTAGGCAGGGAGAAGGCCAGAGGTGGAGTGAGGGAGGGAACAGAGACCCATAACAGTCTTCAGATATTTGAAAGGCAGCCACAGAGATGAAACTATTTCAGAAGTGGGTCCAAGGCATTGAACCAGGACCCAGGGAAGAAGCCAGGAGTGGGCCAGGCCTTCTGGACCAGTGGTTTTCAAGCTTGCCGGGCCTCACAGCACTCTCTTGAAAGGAAAAGTTTTGACAGAAGCCAGGTATCCAGACCAGACAAATGAAGAGCTGCTCTGTCTGAAGTAGGGTCTCTGCCCAGGGAAAGCCCTTGCACTTGAAAATCACTGCATCATAAGAATCAGACCTCTGCCCACCCAGAGGGACTTCAAGGTCATCTTATTCAAGTCCATTGACCCTTCCTTATAACTGTTTCTACATTTTATGTCTGTCTGGCACCTAAGACTTTTTTTTTCCCCTCTGTGCATCCCCGTGTCTAATGAGGGAGGACCTCTTAGGGGAGGTGGGCACAGAGGTAGAGGGTTCATAAAGGAATCCCAGCGTGTGGGCAGAGAGGCAGTGATGAAGGATCTGAAGCAAGGAGGAAAGTGTTGACTCAGTGCAGAATTTCAAAAGAGGGTGAAGTCAGCAGAGATGGGTCATTTGTTTTGACCAAAGTGATTAAAGAAGAAAAGTCTGTGAGCTGAGTGAAGTGATGTCAGCCAGAGAAAATGGGACAGGGTTAGGATGGGAGAGAGAAGGGGGAGAGTCAACGAGACTTAAATTCAGTGTTTGGGGGGGAAGGGCCCAGTTACTGGGCACCACTGCCTGCCTGTGTGTCTGATGGGTGGTGGCCAGGAGGGCTGAGAAGAGGCAGGTTAGGGATGATGGTGTGGGTGAAGCGTGTGGTGTGGGGGAGCAGTTCTTCACTTCCTGGGAATTGTGAAGAGGCTGGGCAGGATCAGCTAGAGAGGAACAAGAAGGACCCAGGGCAGTGGGAAGCAGATATGTCAGAGCACAGACCTGGGCATTGGTGTGAAGTGTGGTTGAAACAGCCCAGTGCAGAGTCCCTACTCTCAAACCCCTCCCCCACTTTCTCCCCTCCCTTAAGGGCTTCAAGCACCTCCAGACAACATGCGATCAAATCAGGGGTGATGCTTCCAGCTTCTACGAGCTCTTAGTTTAACAGACATGCCCTGTGTCCGTTGTCCATGCAGTACTGGGAGGTCATCCCTGCATGGGGCAAAGCAGCAGGCAGCAGACACGCAGTGGTCATTCAGGTGGGGGGCCCCCAGAGACAGACCCTGGTGAGGCTAATGTGCAGGGTGTGACCCCCGTGAAGGCTGTGGAGCCCAGCCTGAGGATGGAGGAGGCAGCACAGAGGCAGGGGCTCTGGGAAGAGCAAGCAGGGCCCAGGCTTGGAGAGGCTTGGTCTGGATGGTTCCTGAGAGCAGGAAGCAAGTCAAGGCCACAGTCCACAGAACTGGGCCTGCCCCGTGACTCAGCACAGGGGTTCAGGATGGCTAGTGTCCATGCTGAGCTTAGGTGGTGGCCTGGAGCTCCTGAAAGACTGTCCCCTTGCAACCTCCAATCAATATTGAACCTAAATGCCTACCACGTGGCTGAGCCAGAGTGAGCAGACTGGGGAGACGGGGTAGGAAGAAACCAGATTAGGAAGGGAATAATTTGGCACTTCCTTGAAGATCCAGTGATTAAGACTCCGCGATTTCACTGCTGTGGGCCCAGGTTCAATCCCTGGTCAGGAAACTAAGACCCCATAAACCATGAGCACCATGGCCAAAAAAAAAGGAAGCAAATGATATCAAGAGTCTGTGGGCTGGAAACCTATGCAAAGTAGCAAGAGATTGATTTGGAAGAATAAAAAAGAAAGCCGAGACCAAATTAATGCAAGGTAATGATGCTGCAGACAGGGGAGAGGATGAAGGACTAGGTAAATTTTCATTCCATAATCATCGCCTACCTGAACGCCCTCCCCAGCTCTCCTCCTCTGAGTAGCTACCTATGGACTGGACCCTGCCTACCACCTCCCACCAGGTCTTTGCCTGCCTCAGAGTCCCCACCAGGTCAAGTTCTCCCCAGCCCAGCCTCTCTGCTAATGCGATGTCCAGGATGGCTTTTTCTGGGTCCCAGCTTCTCCCTAATCAGCCAAGAAAGAAGAAATCTCAGGGTTTGCGAGACAGGAGGATTGCCCCTAAATGCTCCTTTCAGATGCCCCAGTCTAGGGTCCCAGTGCACTGACCGGGAGCAATATTGATGCTGTCCTTGTCCTGTCTGTTCCCCAGCTGACTCCAGCTCAGCTGTTGAGGAAGCCCTGACTTTGGCTTTATCATCAAAGAGTCCGTTACCCGCCTCCGTCCTTCTGTGCAAAATTATATTTAATCCTGCCAAAGAGATTTCTGAATTGCCATAAATTCTCCTTGCTATCAGAGCAAGATAAGGAGTTGAAAAGAGGTCACATAGAGGGCGGACATCAAAGGAGCCGATAAATGGTCTGAAATCACCTCTACCCTCAGAATTCCCCCAAGTCCTGGTTTTCTGATGCTGGTCTCTACCGATACGTGGGATATTTACCAACATTTCTGTGGTGCTAGTGTTTTCTTGCGGAACCTGACTTCCCAGGCATTTAATATCCAGCTTTGTCTACATCAGCTTCTTTTCATATGTATGTGTATATATGTGTATATATAATTTATTTATTTTGTGTGGCTGTGCAGGGTCTTTGTTACTGTGCATGTGATCTCTCTAGTTGGGAGAGATCTGTCTAGTTGTGATGTGCAGGCTTCTCACTGCAGTGGCTTCTCTTATTGTGGAGCTGTAGGCACACAGGCTTCAGTAGCTGCAGCTTCCTGGCCCTAGAACATAGGCTCAGTAGTTGTGATGCACATGCTTAGTTGCTCCAAGGTATGTGGAATCTTCCCAGACCAGGGATTGAACTCATGTCCCCTGTATTGGCAGGTAAATTCTTATCCACTGGACCACCAGGGAAGTCCTACATCAGCTTCTTAGAAATAGAACTATTTTGAAAATATATTTGAGTGCAGAAGAGACGGAATTACAAACCAAAGATAAACTTACGGTGAAGAGCCTTAAAAATCAATTATTAAAGTCCAGAAAATAGGCTGTGAAGGCATGCCTCCACCTTATGGCTTCTGTAGTTTCGTTTCTAAGAAGGTTGTAAAGTTCTTGGCTTTGGGGGAAGAAACCGAATATTTAAGGAACTGAAGCAGAGTCCTGGGGCTTCCCAGGTAGCACTAATGGTAAAGAATCCGCCTGCAGTGCAGGAGACACAAGTTCAATCCCTGGGGTGGGAAGATCCCCAGGAGAAGGGAATGGCAACCCTCTCCAGCATTCTTGCCTGGGAAATCCCATGGACAGAGGAGCCTGGCGGGCTACAGTCCATGGCGTCACAAAGAGTCAGACACGACTGAGCCACTAACACTTTCACTCTTTCCTGGGGACTAATGGAAAAGTTGAGGGTGAAGGGTGTCCTGAAGACAGTCTCAGCCAGCTTTTCAAGGGGGCCAAGTTTCAGGGGAGGAAGCCTCCAGGAGTTGACGCTCCAGCATCTGACTCAGATACCTCTGTCCCACTGAGAGAAATTTAGGCGACTGAGAAGAAATGAAGATTAAAAATCGCAGAATACAAGGGAGTAAAGCTGATGAAATTCAATTTCCAAGAGCATTTTAGGGGCTAGTTCTCATGGGATGGGACTGAGGGGGACAACTGTGACTGAATTAAATTGTGACTTAAGGAGAACTTGTGTCCTGGTGTTCTGGCCCCCTGAGCTGTGGAACTTAAGAAGCAGCAGGACCTGGTGATGGAAAGAAAAGGGCAAGATGAGAGTGACATGAGAAGGGGAAATGTGAGACCACAGGGAGCCCCAGAGAGCACCTAGGCCAATAATAGCGAATAGGTGGTCTGAGAGCCCATACTTACCCCCAGCCCCAGTCATAGCAGACATAGATGCAGCCTCAGAATCCTTCTCAACACAGTGCAACAGGAAGCCCCCTACCAATCAATCAAGTATTAATTTAGGTGAACCCAGTGTACAATCTCTCATCTAACTGAGCTCTTCATAAGAGAGATGAGAAGATGCTGGTCAGGGAAATTAAATACTGTCCTCCCTGGCCACAATCTAGACCTAGATGTCTGTCTGTCCATCTCTCGGAAGTAGGGAGGGAAGAGGAAAGGGAAAAGGCTTCAGGCCTGAATTAGCTATCTCCCTCTTTCATCACTCTCCTACTCATGTCACATCCACCCTCTGTCCTCGATCTGCCCACATAGACTTCATGCCACTCCTTGCCTCTTGTGGGCTATGGTACCAGGGGCTTCATCCAAGGGTCAAAGGGGCTGAGTCTGAGAGCTGATCGTATTGCAGTCTTTTTCGAAGAAAGATCCAATTTTCTACCTGTGTCCCCTTCTCCTTCTCATTATACTGAAGTTCCCCTTCTCTCACCTGTGTTGCCAAGCCCTCATTTGTTCAAGCCTGTGTCAAGTGAACTGAACGCATTTGTCAAATTCCAGCGGGTTCCACTCTATTTGGTCCAGCACCAACCACTGCCAGACAGTATGTTCAAAACAAATTAGGAACGTAGGGGGTGGTGTTTATTTTTTACCAAAACATTCACACAGCTTTGAACCATGAACACCAATAGCTCTTTCCAATAGGATTTATTCTGTAAAGTTTCCCTTGGCATGTAATAATTTATAGAATGTGTCCATTGCATGAATCAGTGTGCACCTGTGACATGAAACTTCGACTCTGAATGATGCTGATAACATGATGGTGATAGTAATAAGGTGTGTATGGCTACTCTTATTTATTTATTTATTTATTTTTCCCATTTTACACATGAAGAAGCTGAGGCTTGGGGCATGTTGGTGGCTGGTCTAAGGACACTTGGAAAATTCGTTGTAGAAGCAGAATGAGGACTGAAGTCCTCTGATTTCTGGACCCTTCCCTCTAGAGGAAGGGTGGAAGTCCCGGAGGCCTGGTCTTGTCTGTTGAGTCCCCTGGACTTGGCTCCAGTAGCCCTCCCAGTCTATCCTCCCGTGACTTAGCGCCTAGCCTTGCTAATTTACATTCTTGCGTACTGCTATATCCCCAAGTGCTTCTTAAAGTGCCCAGGATATCAGGATTAATTAATATTTGTCAAATGAATGGATTGTCTTCAAGGAATCTCTAGAAATAGAGGTAAGGAGGCAGTTACTGTTGTATTGACAACTTACAGGGTTCCCAGAGAGGTACCTTCTCTTCCACTGTTGCTAGGCACCCCCAGAGGGCCTGACACAAGAAGGACCCCAGGGTGGAGGTGGGGGACTGATGGAGGGAAGACAGTGCCATGGTGGGGTAGACTCGGTAACCTGGTTGACAGAAGCTCACAGGGAATCCATGTGAGTCGTAGGAGAAAAGGCTGTCCCCAGTGTGGAAAGAGGTAAAGGCATTTTGGTAAAATGGTGATAATCTAATCCAGTGATTCTCATTCAGAGGTGACTTTGCACCCTGGGTCATGTGACATTATCTAGAGACATTCCATGTTGTCGCACTGGGTGGGAACTGTTTCTGGCATCTAGAGGGTAGACCCCAGGGATGCTGTCCAACATCCTGTAATGCACAAGAAAGCCTCCCCCGCAACCCCCTGCCACAGAAAATTATCTGGCCCCAAGTGTCAACGGGGATGAGGTTGGGAAACCTCCTACCTCGTAAACATCACCAAGAACTCGGACAACCAGATAATTTCGTCATCAAACGGGGGTGTTTTGAGAGGGAAGAGAGTGAAATGTGTGTTCTTTGTAAATATGCTGGCACAGTATTCATATCTAGTCAGATTGGGATGTCTTGTCACCTGGTCAAGAATCCTCGGGCGAGGGAGGATCTTGTGGGTCTGCCAGACAGGGGGCCATGAAAGAAGGGACATGGGTGGGAGGAGGATTGTGGTTGTTGTACGTGATGTGGATGGAGAGAAATCACCAAGTTAAATGGGGTCTCCAGAATGGGATGGCTTGACTACCTGATGGAGAGGAGAGGCAGAGCCAGGACATCAGAACTTCACAGAGCATCCTCCATGTCACCAAGGCCAGAATATTTCCCACAAATTATAGATAAACAAAGACAGGGATACTTGTCTGTTTTGCTGAAAATAGTTCTTTTCAGGAATGGCATGGATAGATGTCAGTGGTTCACAGGCTTGTGTAAACACTGCCTGTCAACCCACATCTCCTTTCCAGGTCAGGAATAGGCAACATGTTTCATGTCCCTTGCAGCTCTGATAGGTTATATCCACCCTTAAGGCCAGGTTGAGGAGCAGAAACCCCATTCTGGCTCAGAGGCAAAGAGTGTGGTGATTGATTGGCAATGTCTGCCACAGGTCCAGAAAAGGACAGTGATGGGCCAACGGGCCACCCCTTTGCCATCCCTTTACAGGGCCTTGTCCTTGGTTCTCCTGAGAGCTGGGGCTGAAAGGGTGTGAGCTTTAAGTCCAGTGGCCTCTAATGTGTTTATTACAGCCCACTGTGCTGGCTGCTATGTGAATGCCACAGGGGACCACAAAGACCTGGAAGACATAGCCCCCAGCCTCCCTCCAATACCACGACATCATTATGGATGACTAAGATTCTTGTAAATAAAATCATTGGAGGACAGGGAATAATAGAGACCTGTAATAGCCAGACCTCCCCTACATGGTGGAGCCCGTGGCCTGGTGAAGGCCCACTGAGTAGGGAGGAGCTTGGGCTCAGAGAAGGAGAGGGGAGGGAGGAAGTGGGTCCAGAGAATGGCTTGGGAGAGAGTGGGAGTGGAAGAGGGCAGGCTTGTGGAGCCTCCGGGGAGCAAGACAGTAAGTACAGGAGCCCACAGTGGCCCGCCTGATAATGCTTTGCTGTATTTTTTCAGGGCGAGAGATGGTGGGCCCCACGCTGCCTGGATACCCACCCCACATCCCCACCAGTGGACAGGGCAGCTATGCCTCTTCTGCCATCGCAGGCATGGTGGCAGGTAAGGGGTGGGGCTGGGCAGGAGGCGAAACATTGCAAAGAGGAAGTGGTAGCCATCGGTGGAGCAAGAGGGTACAGGAAGTAGGGTGTGCCCCATGCACAGACTTTCCAAAGGACACTGAAGGATGGACCGAGGGATGCAGCTCCTTGTTAACACCCGGAGAAAAGACTCCAGTACAGTCCTGGCCCCTTAACTCTTCCTCCAGCTCAGCCCCCTTCTTCCCAGAGGCTCCCTCTTTCCCATGATGATGAAAAGGGAGAGGCTGAAACAGACTAACATTCAAATCGGAGCTCTGCCATTTCTTCCAGTGATTCAGTAAGCATTCATAGAGAGTCCTCTGGGAGCCATCAGAACAGTGGAGGTAAACCTAAGCCCAGCTCTTAAGCACCCCGTGGTCTCCCAGTTATTTACCTCTGGTGAATCCTGGTTTACCCTTTCTGAAAAATATGAGTGTGAGTGGTGTTGGTGATGATGGTGATGAAAATGGTTGAAATATATCCTTCACACCTCACATTCATTCAACCCTGCACAGTCAGGACCCATGGCTTGAGTATTCCAAAAGTACTAGAGTGTGAGATGAGCAGGGAGTGTGTCTCCATTATCACTTGGACAGTCCTGGAATCCTCCCCAACAGTCCTGGGGGTCTCTTTGTCTGACAGGGTGATCATCACCCAGCAGTGACCTGGGGTATCAAGGTCTGGACAAGTGAGAACAGTGGGAGTTTCTCTGGGTGCATCTCATTCTTTTAGGAACCCTACAGGCAGAACCTCAGAATGGATAGGGTAGAATAGAGCCATATGCATAGGGTCCCTGGTGGCTCCAGACAATAAAGAATCTGCCTGCAATGCAGGAGACCTGAGTTCAATCCCTGCGTGGAGAAGGGAATGGCTACCCACTCCACTATTCTTGCCTGGAGACAATGGACAGAGGAGCCTCGAGGGCTACAGTGCATAGGGTCGCAAAGAGTCAGACCTGACTGAGCAACTGACACTTTCAGAGCCACTTGCACTGCCCAGAGAGGTCTGAGGACCTGGTGCTCCTGGAAGGGGCTCTGAATCAGGACATCTGTGACCCCCCTTCTCCCCACCAGCCTACCTGCCTCTGACTCCAGAGACTCAAGGCCTTCACCCAGGCCTGTTTCCCCTCCCCCGCCGGCAGGGGTTATTCTTTACCAGCCACCCACTGTGGGCGCCCTGTGCGAGGCAGGTGGGCTGGGCGCTCCTGGGCAGAGGGAGGGGACGGAGGAGCAAGGGAGGGAAGGAGGCCCTGGGCTCCCTGGGAACCCGCTGAGCTGGCACTTGTTGCTGCCTGGTTACCGTGGCGATGTGCTTAATGCAGCGTTGAAAATACAGAATACTGACTCCTCTCTCCCTCCTGGCCCCAGACTCCCTCCCTCCCTCCCTTCCTCTTCTGGAGCGTGAAATGAGATTGGTCAAGATAAAAAAGGAAAAGATTCGGTTATTTTTTTAAGAGTGTGGATAATGGGGCCTCTCAATCACAATCCCAGGCTCCAGTCGGTGCCCCCATCCCCCTTCCAACCTCTCCACCTTTCCCTGCCGCCTGCTTAGAGGAGGAGGAAGAGACAGAAAGCCCAGGGCTTTTCTCTTAATTATGAATCATTTCCCGGGGGCAGGCCCAGGGCACAGGGTTCCTGGGGCCCAGAGTCTGACCTGTGAGGTAGCTGGAAGGCTGGGGCCTCTCATCAAAGTCCCCCAGGTTGTTTCTCTAAAGACCTCATCCTGAGTGGGTGTTGCAGAAAAAAAAAAAAATAACACAAATACACCATGGACTACAAGTGAATTCCAAGAGGGAGTTTGCCTGGCAAGGTGGATGGGCACCCAGTAAGTTTCATGCAAATCAGTTTTTAGAAAATGCAGTGTTATTTAAATGCATCCCTAGGTTCCTAGTAACTCGGTGGTGCAAATGAATTCTTAAGGAATTTTTTTGGTAGAAAAAGTATTTGTCCATTTCTTACCAGTGGGTACAATCTCCTGATTGATTGAAGGGGGATTTCTTCCATTAAAATCAAAACTTCATTGAGCACCTACTGTGTGCTAGATAGATACAAAATGCTGTCAGCAAGGCATGCCAGTGACAGTCGTCAGTCAGTTGTAGAAGGACAGGAGATCATTTGTTTGCATTTTCTGGGTGCCTGGCCATTCATAAGTATTAGTTTATTTCTCTTTGAATCCTCACCATAAGACTGGAGCATTGATATAACCTCAGGTTTATGTAGATAAGGAATCAAGCTTAGAAAAGCAAAGTGGTGTGCTTGGGGATCATAATCATAATCATACTAAGTGGCTGGATTGTTCAAACACTTATTCTTTTGATTTTCAAATCTTGCTTTCTTTCTGCTACACCACGCTGCCTCCCATCACATCAGAAGTAACAACACGAGCTATAAGAGAGCAACACAGGAATAAGACCAGGGCATGGATTTCTCTTGTCCATTCATCTTCTGTTTTCCCTTCTAATTGTTGTTGTTGCTGTTCCTGCCCTGTTAATACTGTTAATGGCCCTTTTATCAGCTTTGGAGCCGAACAACAACTCTGATAGATGGATACACCCATCTATCTCTCCATCTTTCCATATATACATCTTTTCACACATTTTCCCATATATCCATGCATATTCATATCCATCCTTCCATCATTCTATCATTCAGTCTTCTATTCATCTTTCCTTTATCCATCCTTTCTTCCATCTACCCATTTTTCTATTCATGTGTCCATCCATTCATCTATTAACCCATTTTTCCATTCATCCATCCATACTTCAATTCATTCATCCATTCTTCTATCAATTCAATCTTCTATTCATCTTTTCTTCACCCATCCTTTCTCCCATCCATCCATTCATCTGTCTTCCATCATCCGTCCATCCTTCAGTTCATCTATTCAACCTTTTATCCCTCTATTCATCCTTCCATGCACCTTTTCATACATCTACCCTTTCTTTTATCCATTATCCGTACTTCTGTCATCCACCCTTTCAACCATCCTTGTGTCCTTCCATCCATTTTACCACTTTTCACTTAACAAATAGGAGTTGAGATTCTCTGTTATGGGATGCAGTGACCAAGCCAGGTCCATCTGTTTATGGAGCTTACAGCCTAACAGTGGAGAAAAAAGTATAGTAAACAAGGACTGAATCAACAAGATAATTTCAGATAGCGATAAGCTCTGATTCAGACAATAAAATGGGATGATGTAATAAAGAGCTTCAGGGAGAGAAGATAACTACTTTAGATTGGGTGATCAGGAGACGTCTCCCTGAGAAGGTGTTCAGAGTGATCAGCCAAGTGATAAACTGGGGCAGACCATCCCCAGCCCAAAAGAACAGCAAGTGCAAAGGCCCTAAGGTAGGAACTAGCAGTGTATGATTACACATGGGAAGAGTGTGAGTATAACTGAGAACAGTGAGTGAGCGGGAAAAGCACTACAGAATGAAAAGATATTGGTGGGGGGGAGGTGGAGGGTCAAATTTTAAGACTACCTGGGTCACTGGGAAATCAGATGGTAGACAGTCAGAAGAGGACACCTAGAGACCAGTTAAGGGAGGGATAATTGCAGTGGTTGATACAGGACATGACAGTGGCATGCGCCAGGGAAGTAGAAGGGAGGGAAGAGAAAAGAGACATTGAGGATGTAATGTATTTTGGTGGTGGAGCCAATAGCACTTACTAGTGAATTGGCCATAGGGGTTTAATGTCAGAGGAAACAAGGATAAGTCCTTGGTTTGAGGTTTGGGAAAAGGCATGGGTGGTGGCGGCAAGTATTATATGGGAGATCAGAAGAGGAAACGGTAGAGTATTTGGCATATGGAAGTCAAGGATTCTATTGGGCCATATTAGGATTGAGACATCTCCTAGATTACCAGTTTAATACATCAGTAGGCACATGATGTATATCTATAGTCAGGAAAGACTAGGGCATACATTTCAGCCATTGTGCAGAACTGTTATTTAATGCTTAAGGGATTATGCAAGGTCACCAGAAAGAGGATGTGGATGGAAAATCACAGAAGGCTCACAAACCAAGCTCTGGGGTCCTTCAACATTTAGAGACATAGCAGAGAAGGAACCAACAAGGCAAGAGAGCAGGAAAGGCCAGTGGGTTAGGTGGCAAACCAGGGGAATTGGCGCCATGAAACCCAAAGGCAGGGAGGGAGTGATGAACTGAATCAGAGTCAGCCAAATGACCTTTGGAGTGATCGGGTAGAGGTTGTAGGGATTTGAAGGGATCAGCGTTGGCCTGACTGGAGGGGGGATGAGGAGGTGAGGGCAGAGACCGTGGAGCAGAGAAGGGCTGCAAGCTGCAGAGAAATGTGGGCTAAGAAGAGGATCTTTAAAATAGAAAATAGCAGAGCCTGTTGGCTGGCTAGGGGAATGATGAATTGGAAAGGGAGATGTTGACAAAGAGTGAAGAGAAGGGATAAATTATGAGGGCCCAATCCATGGAAAGATGAGTGGGGTAGGATGCAGAGCAAAGAGGATAGGTTGGCCTTTCATGAGAGCGAGGACATTTCATCTGCCGTGGGTGAAGGTGGGTTGACGGACCTGGTGGTGAAAGGATGCTGCACCTAGGGGTGTACCACCTCCTCAGCCCCATCCTCTCCTCCAACTACTATGTGACCAAAGCACATAGGTACTCTGTAAGTGTGTGTTGGATAAATGAATGAGTGAGCGAATGCATGAAGAAGCGACACAGTGAGGGGCAAACACATTGGATTTTCCACCTTTCTTCCTGTCCTTTGGAGCTGGCTGAGGTTGGCATTGGCTGGGGTAGGGTCAAGGCCTGAGAGCATTGCTAAGGTATAATTGGCTTTCTCCAAGGATGCACTGAAACCAAGGAGGTGTGGGGGACGCCAGCAGATCACACTGTGAATACAAGAAGGCGCACTGGAGTAGGCACTTGAGGCCAGGGTCCTAGCAGGTTCTAGGGGAACATGTGGCCTGGGGCAAATGCCTTTCCCTCTCTGGGCTGTAGTTTCTTCATTTGTGAAATGAATGGTTGGATGAGGTCATTTCTTAGTTTCTTTCTATTTTTAATCCCTTGGCGTTTTTTCCTCCCTCCTTTCTCTTCCATGTATTTGTTGTTCACCTGACCTGTGTTAGATTAATCCCTGCCTCTAATGAACTTCCTGTGTTACTGCCTGTCACTAATGTCCTGGACAAGGACCCAGAAGCCTTCCTCTCCTTCAGGCTCTTCCCCCTTGCTTCCATTCCTCCTGTGCAATTGCCTACATCTCTAGCAGGAAAGCAGCCCCCACTGACCCCAACTCAGGCTTTACCACTGGTTGGATGACAGATGTGGGGCTCTAGTGAGCTTTATTTTTGTACCTGCCTAATGGGGAAATCATAAATGCTGGCATTCCTTGCCTGCTTCTTCTGTTCCAAGAGTGGTACTATAAGTATTTGATGTATGTTATAGAATTGAACCTTCCCCACAACCCCATGAAATAGGGGCAATAATCTGCCCCATTTGACAGATAAGGAAACTAAGGCTCAGAAGAGCTCAGTTAGTTGTCCAAGGTTGCACAACTCGGAAGTGGGGCACAGAGATTTGGCTCCAGGCAGGCCGGCTCCAGAGCTAGGCAGCTTCGAGCCCCACTCCCAGAGTCTGGGAATGAGTTCAGGAGCCAAAGAAGGCACTTGACTTGTAACAGCAGATGAGATTCTGGAGGGCGGTGTGGACATTCATTGGAGTTCAGGATTGGTGGGAACCTGGCTTTGTGGATGGAACTCTCTCCCAAGTGCATAAATGGATGATCTGGAATTTCGAGTGAAGACCTCTCAAGTCAACTTCTCCTCTGCTATTTCCCATCTGTAGGATTTGAGGCTAACTCCTTACTCATGCTGCACTCCAGTTTCCTCTTCTATAAACTGGCACTATTGATAGGCATCTCCCAGTTGTAAGAATAAAGGGGCATCAAGTGTGAGAAAGTGCTTTGCGAACCTTAAGCTCTGAGTTCCAACAGTAACTGCGGTGGTCTGCTTTGTTATTTAAGGGAATTCTTAAGTCTTTTTTTTGGTAAGTAATTCTAGTGAGGCCAAGAATCCACTCACAGAAACAGGTGATCTGATTTGCTTTGTGTAAGTCGTATGCTGAGTTTTCTTCAAGTGGCAGGTTTGAGATGGGACAAGAGTCTCTTCAGAGGAAGTCTCAGGACCCACATGCTCTCCAGGCCCCTTCCCTCTCTGCCTTTCATCCTCTGCACCCATCCCCAACCACACACACTCACACTCACACACTCTTTCCTCCCTAACAAAGCATACTGAAGGAGGCTACAAAGAACCCGCCTGCCACTACCGGAGACCGTGGGTTGGGAAGATCCCCTGGGGAAAGAAATAGCAACCACTCCAGTATTCTTGCCTGGAAAATTCTGTGGACAGAGAAGCCTGGCAGGCTGCAGTCCATGGGGTCGCAAGAGTCAGACACGACCTAGTGATTAAACAACAACAGCACAGTTTATACTCCCTTGAGTCCTTCCTTGACCACTAACCTCTCTCACTCATATTGACCCCTCCCAGAAAGACCTTTCTACAGAAGGTCCAGACAGCATCAGAAATGGTTAGAACCTGACTCCACCTGGAGTCACAGCACAGCTTTCAGTCTCCACCAAACCCTGCAGCTGTGTGAGCTACAGACCCCAAGACTCTGTTTCCTCATCTGGAAAAAGGGCAATCATAATAACATCTACCTCCTGGGGTTCCTGTGAGAGCTGGTCGTGTCAGGGCGGTACCCCCAGTCCCTGACGGAAAAGGCACCACCCCCCAAAGGAATGCAGATGGAGGAGCCTCCAAAGGGCTCTTGGAGGGGTCTCCTGAGCTCCCACTGTCCCTGCCCTGGCCCCACTGTCCCCCAGGGCTCGCTCTGTGTCCACCCTGCGGACCCTCATCCCCCAGCCCCAGCCCTCAGGCCGGGAATCCACCTCATGGGTCTCCTACCTCTGTGCCTCCCACAGGAAGCGAATACTCTGGCAACGCCTACGGCCACACCCCCTACTCCTCCTACAGCGAGGCCTGGCGCTTCCCCAACTCCAGCTTACTGAGTAAGTTGCCTCTGGGGCCTTCTCAGGCCCTCCACTGTGCAGGGTGGGTGAGGGTGCTCGGTTGGACCAAAGTGGTCCGAGAGCTGGGAATCCCCAGTTCGATGGAGGGCCTGGAGAGACAGATGTTATCCATAATCCGAGCAGGTCAGGGAAAGGCAGGGTACCAAGTTGTCTGGGGGGAGAGGCAGAGGGGAGACTTCTGGGCATCACTCACTTCTCTGTCCTGAGCCCATGTCTGTGAAATCTTTGTTTTGTGTAAGATTCAGGGCTCAGGCTTTGGGAGGGCGGGGGTGGAGGGGACATCTCCACGGGGAAGGCACGTCTCTATACCCCTCCACATCTTGGAGGGTACCTAGGGGAGTGCCAGCAAACCTCCTGCTGGGGAGCGTGCTGATTGCAAACAGTGGGATCCTGTTGCTTTCATTAACATCTAAGTGGCTTGAAAATACTCATGACTCAGCCCCAGAGCCCTTACACAGAGACCCTCTGTTCCACCACATTCCTAATATTTGGCTTGAGATGTGGACAGCAGCCTTCAGTATGGAGGTCTAGATAATGAACTGGACTGCAGGGCTTCTCATCGGCGCCTCTCCCCCTGGGCTGGGGTTGGGTTGAGAAAACAAGGAAATCAGGAAACCAAGCCCCATAAATGAATGTGAGGGATCCCACTGGAGTCTCCATGACCTGGAGGGTCTGGGAGCAAACCTGAGCCCTGTAGAAGCTGCAGCGCAGTGCAGCTGACCCCAGGGGTCTCTATTCCCAAGACATCCCTCTCTCCTCCTGTTACTGCCTCATGTTCCAGGAATGACTAGGAGGCTGACTGACTTGGACTCTGTTGGCCCTGTGAGTTCAAGCCATGCTTATGTCCAGCTCAGCTCGGAAAGATGAGGGCATAGAGATGTGCCCTCCCCATGGAACTTCCCCAGGCTGTCTGTGGGTGTGCAGAGCAGCCTGTAGGAGGCTCTCAAATCCACATATCCCTTGAGCAGTCAGCTTTCCATCCCCTCTGATTCCTAAGACACTCTGATCTTGTGCCTTTTGGTCAAGGCCGGGGAACACCCCAGCGATCCCCCAGTCAGTACTTGATTCTTCAGGGCTCCAGTCGTAACTTCTCTTTCTTGCCCTCTCTCAATGCAAGGGTGCTGAAGGTCAAAGGAATCGTGGGGAGGAGAGGGGCAAGAAGCCACTGTTCTCCTTCTGGCCAGAAACTCAAAGGTGAGGCCAGAGAAGGAGGAAATAAGGGCCAGAGAGGAGTTAATCTTTGATGATCAGATAGGCCAGAGGGATCAATGATTAACTCACGCTGTCTTAAAGGTTAGCAGAGGCAGGGGGAGGCTGTGGTGCAATTTTTTTCTTCTGACTGGCAGTGTTGTTGTTGTTTTTTTTTTTAACTTGTCCAGGTTCCCCATATTATTACAGTTCCACATCAAGGCCGAGCGCGCCGCCCACCACCGCCACGGCCTTTGACCATCTGTAGTTGCCATGGGGACAGTGGGAGCGACCGAGCCACGGGAGGACTCAGCCTGGGACAGGCCCCCGAGAGTCACACAAAGGAATCTTTATTTATTACATGACAAATAACCACAAATCCAGCATTGCGGCTCCCTCCCCGTGTGGTTGATTCAGTGAACCATGAGAGACAGGACGATGGTGGAAGAGACGCCACCGGTCCTCCGGGACTCCTTAATGAGGGACAAGAGTCCCAGGGGGACAGACTGTCCCATTCCAAAGAGACAGAATCGGAGGAGAAATGTGGAGAAGAGGGCTGGAGAGGGATGGCCCTTGGGGCCCACCACGGGCTCGGGGGCACACGGAGGCGCCTCTGTGGCTCCATTGTTGCCACGCTCTAGCGGCCACGGGCTGTGAGCACGTCCGCCCAGCCCGCAGCCGCAGTGGGTGCGAAGGCTCACCCCCACCGCCACCCTGGGAGGCACCGCCTGCTCTACACAGCTCGCTTGGCTCTTCCTGCTCGTCCCTCCTGGTCACCGGCTCAGCCCTGGGTCCAGCCAACCAGGAGCTCCACCCGGTGTCAAGGTGGTCAGCCACCTGCCTTCCCCTTCCCTGCTGCTGTGAATGTACCAGTTCCATCCCAGGGGCTCCCCTGCTGCGGAGGATCCACCCCTCTCCTTGGCAGCCAGACCAGCCCATTACAGCTGGAGACAGACATTCCAAAGCACCCCTCCCACCCCGCCCCAGGCTCCGGGGGGTGGGGTGCAGCCCTGCCCAGAGTAGAACCAGGCACGTAACTGGGGACCCCGCCTCCTGCTCCCAACAGCCCTGCCAAACCCACAGCTACCGAGAGACCCTGACACAACACCCCCACAGTTCCCTCTCTGGGCCCTACAGCTCCCGCTACCCCCCACCCCCACCAGGCCTGACTGTAAATACTGTAAATGAGCCTCAGCTTAAGCAAACTACCCCTTTCCTCTCAGTGTCGTTTCCCTGCCATGTCCGGCTTCTCTCCTTGATGCTTCTTTCTTTTTTAAAAAGACAACCCACCATTGCCATATGACTCAATAAACCATTGCTCTTGGTCTCTGGCTTTGGGGTTGACTGGGTAGGAGGTACCCTGGGACAGGGTTTTCTCCAGAAAACCTCAGAGCCCAGCAGCCAATGAACTTGTATTGGGGCTGCGTGTTGAAAGGACACTATTGTCCGGGAGAACTCTGACTTAGCATTCGCCCTCTGCCCCAGGGAGATGTTCGACGCCAGGCACACCACGTACCCCAAGCTTTGATTGTTCCATCTCTGAGTCAATGAGAGCAGAAAATAAGCACGTGACCTGATGCCTGACCAATCACAGACTCCCCACAGGTGGTGGCCGCTGTTACTTACAGGAAGCCAAAGAATTAGCCAGGAAGGCTGGTGACAGATCCAGGAACAGCTCCACCTGGGAGCCTGCATAAACAGCTCTTAGGATCCCTGAGGTGTGAGAGGAGGGAAGGGAGAAGACAGTTATTGGGCTCAGCTGCCTGGGAAAGTGTTGAGAGTGTCAGTTGCTCAGTCATGTCCAACTCTTTGTAACCCCATGGACGGTAGCCTGCCAGCCTCCCCTGTCTGTGTACTGTCCAGCAAGCATAGTGGAGTGGGTTGCCATTCCCTTCTCCAGGAGATCTTCCGACCCAGGGATCGAACCAAGGTCTCCTGCATTGCAGGGACATTCTTTACTGTCTGAGCTACTGGGAGCTTCAAGGGATCCTCACATAAATGAACCTGGATTCACCCTATTTTACATATGGAGAAACTGAGGCTCAGAAAATAATGAAATAACTTGCCTGAGGCAGGAAGTGGTAGATTGCATCAAAACCTCTTAGCTTAAGTCCAACACTTCAGCTCAGCACCACGGGCGCTCATCAGGGATGCCAGGGGTTCTAGACCCAAGGGAGATCCTGGGACTGCCCCCTGAGAGTCTGATATCTTTTGGCTTGGTTCCTAAGTATTGGGTCGGCCAAACCAAACGAACTTTTGGGCCAACCCAATATTTGGCAATATTATAGAATTTCCCAGGTGGCGCTAGTGGTAAAGCACTTGCCTGCCAATGCAGGAGATGTAAGAGGCTTGAGTTGGATCCCAGGGAAGATCTCCTGGAGGAATTAATGGCAATCCTCTCCAGTATTCTTGCCTGGAGAACCCCATGGACAGAGGAGCCTGGCGGGCTACAGTCCATAGAGTCGCAAAGAGTTGGACATTACTCAAGCGACCGCACGTGAGGGCCAGGAAGGGGTGAGGGAGTTACTGTGGGGACTTAGAACAACCCTCTTCTGTGAAATTCCACAGAACAAGGTGGGAAATACAGTGGTGACTGCAAGGGCTGGCTCTGTCCACAAGAGGATGCTCGTCCCACCAGCGGCTGCCTGGTGTCTGTGTGGACCCTCTTCATGAAGGACCCAGCTGGAGCAGGGCCGGGGGTCAGGCCCAGGACAATGCTGACAGTTGGGCAAACAGCACCCGCGGCTGAGTCTGACGGAGGAGGGGATTCCTCAACAACCCCTCATCCCCAGGGACTCTCAGGCTGGGAGGGCAGAGACTCTGACCCCGCTGGTTCTCCCAGCGAAGAGGTCAGGAGTGCTCGCTGAGGATAGCATGGAAAAGGTGGGCCCACGAAGAAAGCCAGGCCCCATGTCTTCCTTGTGGATCTGAGGAAAGGCTTGTTCTTCAATAACAGGACTTCCCTCTAGCCTCGAACATGGCAGCAGGACTAAATCCCATTATATCTGAGGCTCTTCATGATCCCAAATCTCTGGGTTCCTGAGCTCCCCAAGACAGTCCCGACCCAGGAACCACCTTGAGTTGCTCGGTGCCCCAGGGAGTCTGCAGAGCGACCCTTTCTATTCATACCCAAACCCTCTCTGGGAACACTGGTGCCCTGGCAGCCTCTTTAAGCCCCGAATGACAGGGCTTAGAGAATGAATGGTGGTGCTTTTGCTGGGTGACAATGGATCAGCTCTCCCCTTTCTTCTCAGAGGTGAGCTGAGCCTCCCAGGATGCTGCTCAGAGCAGGTGTCCGTGGGCATGTGGCATGGCTCAAGTGCAGCGGGTCCCAGCCAGTACCTCTCCAGACATTGTGTACATGGTCAAACCCCAGGGGCTTAGAAAATATAGCTATCTACATGTCAGGGTCTTCTCTGGTGATTCAGATGGTAAAGACTCTGCCTTCAGTGCACACAGGAGACCCTGGAGACCCTTGTTTGATCCTTGGTTCAGAAAGATTCCCTGAAGAAGGAAATGGCAACCCACTCCAGTATTCTTACCTGGAGAATCCAATGGACAGAGGAGCCTGGTGGGCTACGATCCACAGAGTTGCAAAGAGACACAACTGTGTGCATGCATGTGCACACACTTGCTGGGGGAGAGAGATGATCTGAGGTGCCCTGTCTTTGGGGGCAGTGTTGGGACAAGTCGGGGAGGTTCATGGGGAGGCCGTGGTGAAGAAGGAGCGTGAAGACAAGGATGGGAGGAAAGGGGCGTGGCCACAGGGGATTGGGTTAGGGCATGTGGGATGCATCTACAGGCAGTTGGTGGGAAGTAGGGGAGGGTGGTCTACTCTGTAGCAGAGTAGGGGCCTCTAGTTTCTCTGAAGACCTGGTCCTGGGCAGAGAGAGCCAAGTCTCACCACACCCCGCCCCATCCCCAACCCGCATTGTGCCCTGGAACCAGCCCTTTCACTACCTATGTGGAGAGGCCTTTTCAGCTTTCCAGGCTGCTCTCCCTGGCCTGTCATCCTCACCCTGGCTCCTCCAGCACCCTGTACCCTCCCAGCACACACCAGGCCAGCCCAGGATGCCTGGAGCTCAGGGGTCAGTGAGGGCCAGGCAGCCCCTGCATGTGGGTGGGTTTCCTGCTGGGAGACAGAGCAGTTAGGGTGGAGCAGAACCCATCTGTCTAAGGTGGGCTGGAGCTGCTGTGACCCTCTGGCTCCTGCCCCATGGCCTGGGGGTGGAGGTAGGTGGGAGTCCTACTCTAAGGCCAGCCCCTAGGCTGGTTCCGAGCCCTCCTGTCACTTCTTTAATATTCTTGGCATTATTGTTTAGTCGCTCAGTCATGTCCGACTCTTTTTGACCCCGAGGACCACTTTTGTCTCCGATTCTGGATGTTGGCCTCATTTCGCACTTGGGGAAACTGGGAGCAAGAGGTGCCTGGATTTTTCAAGGTCATTCAGAGGAGCTGAGACCACTGCCTGAACTCTAATCTGAGGCTGAATCTGCATCCTAATCTAAAGCCTTGAACAGCAGGGTGTGGCCAGGTTTCTTCAGAGACCTCAGGCTCCGGTAGCTCTGTGGCGAGGTAATGAGTTTCATGGCTGCCTGGGGCACGGCCACACACACCCAATGTGGGGACAGTCCTGGATGAAGGACCCAGAGGTTAGCCTGCAGGTGGGGAAGGAGTGCTGGGACTGGAGAATACCAGCTGAGCCTCCATCCTCCGCCCCAAGTCTCCCCCAGGCCACCCCTCGGCAGCTCTCCTCCAGCTTTTAGGGTCATAAAGCACCTCTACCTGCCAGGGATCTGATGGTTCCTCTGTCCCAGCTTGCGTGTCACCCTCAGACGGAGAGTGACCAGCCACGCTGCCCGCAGCTGTGATGGAAGTGAAAGCATCTTCTCCCACAAGGGCCGCCTCCTCTCTCTACTGCCTCACCTCTTTCTCCTTCCTTTTCTCACCTCTTCTAGTATCCTGTTCCAGTCCCTCTTCTGTGCGAGTCCGAAGCAATTACTGCTTTGTGAGACCTTTTGTGTCTCCAGTGAATATTCGTGAGGACTTAGAGGTCCCGCATCTGCTCAGAAAATGCCGCAAGCATTTCTCCTCCCTCCCTCCCTCCTTTCCCTTCTGGTCTGTTTCTCTTCTCTCTACTCTCTCCTCTTCCTCTAGCTCTGGGGGCACTCAGGATACAGATGCTGGACGTCTTTATCTTCTGATGGCAGATACTGATTCCCTACTGCTCCCTGCTCGCATGCACGGGTACAGACACACACATGCCACCAGCAACCCCACCTCCACATCGCTAAGCGCCTCAAGCAAAACCAGGTGCCTGACTTCCTGGATGAAGCTGCAGAAAGCAGGCAAGGCTGGTCCCCTCCTGGCCAGCATCCTCCCTGAGTATCACCCTTTCTCCTCTAGCTGAGTGGCAAAGGGTAAACCTCAGGTGCCAAGGCGCTGCCCTGAGACTTAGGTTGAGGGCTGGGTCTTCGGGGTGTGGGGCTTTGTTTTGGGGGGAGAAGAGAAGCTGGAGCCCAGCTCTTCCACATCTCTGCCCGGTGGCAGCTGGCCAGGCTGGGGAGTGAAGCGCTGCCTCCGGCTCTCCCAGGGAAATGCGATTTCCCCTTGAGTGAAGCGGACTGTGCAGTGTGGAAATTGGCTCTTTTCTGAGCGAGTGGAGGCTGTTCTGAGTGGGGGGCGGGCTGGGGCCCGCGGGAGGCTGCGCTGGCCCCCGGAGTGAGCCGGGGGCAGCCATGTGCTGAGAACTCATTAGGGATAAATCACACTAGTACCAGCGTGAAGCCAACACCCTCCCCCACCGTGCCTCCTGGTCCCCCCTCGTCTCAGACTCCCCTTCTTCCCCTCCCCCTCCTCCCTAGCCAAGGCATCCTCCCCCATGTAAGGGGAGCCCAGGCCCACACAGCCCCGCCTGCTGCCTCAACTCCAAGGGCCCATCCTTGAATGAGAGCCGCGTTCATTTACAAATAACTCTTTTTGTTTGTTTTAGATGTGTTTGCTTTTTTGCCAGGAGGGGGGCATTTGTCACTTCACTAACAGCCCAGGCCTGGGAACTCACATTCCCCTCCACCGCATTCCTCCATTGAGCCCCAATTCTTATATCCTGCTCCTGCTTCCCAGGGAGGCCTGAGTAGAGGCCCTCAGCTGTGGGCAACATTGGTTCCCACCCACCCCATACACGCTCTGGGGAGAGGTGGTGGTTGTGATTTAGTTGCTAAGTCATGTCTGATTCTTGCGACCCCATGGACTGTAGCCCACCAGGCTCCTCTGTTCATGGGATTTTCCAGGCAAGTCTACTGGAGTGGGTTGCCATTTCCTTCTCCAGGGGGTCTTCCTGACCCAGGGATCAAACCCACAGTTCCTGTATCTCCTGCATTGCAGGTGGATACTTTTTACCACTGAGCCACCTGGGGAGCCCCTGGGAAGAGGAGTGCACCCCATTGGTCCTAGCCCGGAGAAGGTCCCCAGTACAGTCACACACCCACCAGGGGACATTGCTTCGGGAAAGATGCTAGCCATAAATGGATGCCCTTGGTCTGAATGGAAACTTATTTCTCCATCAAAGCAAAGAAGGAAAAGAATGTGGGTAAAAAAGGAGGGCTTCCCAAGTGGCTCAGCAGTAAAGCATCTGTCTGCCAATGCAGGAGGTACATGTTTGATTCCTGATCCAGGAAGATCCCCTGGAGAAGGAAATGGCAACCCACTCCAGTATTCTTGCCTGGGAAATCCTGTGCACAGAGGAGCCTGGCGGGCTACAGTCCATGGGGTAGCAAAGAGTCAGATGTGGCTGAGCATACATGCTAAAAAGAAGGAAGGGAGTAAGGCCTCTTGACCTTGACGAGAACTGAGGCTTTACCTGTTGAAATTACAACCTTGTCCTCCCCAGAACCACCCTCTTTGCTGATGACGAGAAAAAAGGCCTAGTCACTAGCTATTTTAGGGGCTGAGGTTGTGGTGTCACTGGAGCTGTTAGTTATGGTTTACCCCCTGGGAGACAGCGTTGCTGCAAAGTCCAGGCCTGGGTGTGGGGCTCTGTCCCCACCCCATCACCTCCTGGGTGGCAACCCCAGGGATATCCTCAGCTTCCTGGGCCATAAAATGCACGGCTCTGGCCAGAATGATGTCCAGCCCTAAGGTCATGAATCAGTAGTCACCCGGTCATCAAAGGCATTATGGGACTCATTTGACTGGTTCAGGTATGAAGCTCTCTTCCAGATTCCCCAGGTAATTTTCCATCAGGCAAACCATACTTGCGTATGTGGAATCAGTTTCTGTTTGGGGTAGGGGCAGAGTGGCTTCTGGCGCCCCACTCACCCAGGGTACTAGAGTTCTGCCTCAGCTGGCTAGATGAAAGCCAGGCTTCCAGGGGATTCCAGGCTGGAGCAGAGATGGGAAAAAGAGCAAAGCAAATACAGCCACAGTTAGTACAGGCTGAGGCATGAGAAGGTGTAGGCCTCACATTCATCAATTCATTCATTCATTCGGAAGTAGATCATAAACCATCTACTTTGTGCCTGTCCCTGTAAGAGGCACCTAGAAGGATGAACCAGATGACCCTCCTCCAACCCCACCATTACCCAAAATAAAAACAAAAAACCTCAGAGCTTAGAGCCTTTATAAAAGTCACTCTAAGGACTTCCTTGGTTGAAGGTGGGAAGGTCGTCCCCATCTTTCAATACAGGGGACAAGGATTTGAGCCCTGGTCAAAGAACTAGGGCTTCCCAGGTGGTGCTAGTGGTAAAGAACCCACCTACCAAGGCAGGAGGCGTATGAGACATGGGTTCAATCTCTGGGTCAGGAAGATTCCTTAGAGGAGGGCATGGCAACCCACTCCCCTTTTCTTGCCTGGAGAATCCCATGGACAGAGGAGCCTGGTGGGCCACAGTCCATAAGGTCACAAAGAGTCGGACACAACTGAATTCATTTAGCATGCAGCACGCATGCAGGGAACTAAGGTCCCATGTGTGGAGGGGCAACTGAGCTCCACAGCTAGAAAGAAACCCATGCACTGCAACAAAGACCCCATCATTTAGTTCCACTTCCACTTGCACTTCATTGTTCACTGCAATGAACACCACCTGAACTGCATCTAACACCGGACATAGCCAAAAATAAACAAGTAAACATGAAAAAAAAATGTCACTGTAGAGCAAGGTGAGAAAGGGATAAAAGCTAGAAGAGAAGGGATATAAAGTGTTGTCAGGTTTCAGGGTAAGATTTGCAAAATTCCTCCTGCCTGCCACCCGCCACCCCAAGGCCCTTCTCAACCATCCATAGCTTCTCCCAGGAGCCTCTAGGAACACCAACTGCAAATCCTAACCTCCAGCCTGACCCCTCTTCCTTAAAAGGATTATTGTCTTGACTTCTGTGTCCCAAGGAGGGTTCGGGAGGGTTCTAGGCAAGAAGACTCAATGTCAGCACCCTGTCCTAGAGGCCCTCCCACCCCACTGCAGGAACTGACGGCCAGCCTCCCCTCCACCCCCGACCACCCCCGCCACCATGATTAACTAGAATCAGACAGCCTGGGTCTTTCTTTGAGTCAGGAATCTTTATTCCTCTAGTCGGGTAGGGAGTGTGGGAGATGCTCAGAGCCTCAAAACAGACCAAAGACCTCCCCTCCTTGTGGTCCTGCTTGGTCCCCTCCTCTCCATCTCAGTAACCCCCTGACCCAGGCTGGGGCCAGCCTAGCTCCCTGAACACAGGTCCAAGAATTGGAGGGAAGAGAGGAGGATGAGGATGCTGGGTAGAGAGGGTCGAGGAGGCCCCGGGAGAGGAAGCAGGTGGAGGGTATGGGGGGGAAGGGTGGATGGGGACACCAACTAGCTGTGAGTCCCACGTCTTTATCTCCTGGGTTCCTCCACCCCCTAAACTCTGGCTCAGGGTGGTGACAGTGACCTGGGCTTTGGGGACAGGCCTCACCTCCATGACCTGTTCCCCATGCACATTTCCACCCAGCTCTACTTGGAGGGTGGAGGGAGGGGCGTTTGGGGGCTGAAACACAGTGACTGGGGGAGGAGAGGGAGTCACCATGGGGGGAGCAGGTGCCTTCTCCCAGCAGCCAGCCCGGGGTGGGGGAGGGGCGGGGTGGGCCAAGACCCAGGCTGAGGCTTGGGGGCCCATCTGAGCATGTCGCCTGCTAAGGAAGAGCGAAGGCGGGGGAGGGGAGGGCGGGGAGGTGAATAAATAATAGGAAATAAAACTTCATGAAGCAGAAAATAAAAGGCAGATTATACAGATGTGGCAATTTGAAGGATCATTGCCTCTGTCCTCTTTTTAACTGCTGCATCTGGAGTTTTGAAGCAGCTTATCCCCTCCCCTCCCTCTGTCGGGTCCCTGCCTGGCTGGAGGCCCCCAAGGGGCGAAGACACGTGAGGGGACAGCACCTCAAACACTCAGCCGGAGGTGATGTTTCCCAGCACCACGCGCTGCCGCCCAGCTGGGGATGGGCCTGCGGGGCTGGGACACTGGGTGAAAGGGTGGAAGGGTGGCCTGGGTGTTTGGGGGGTGAAGCCACCCTGAGTGAGGTGAGGTTGAGGTTCCCTGTGTGAGGAAGGGGAGAATTTGTGGGTGAGGACAGGGCTTCCCAGGTGGGGCTAGTGGTAAAGAATCCCCCTGCCAATGCAGGAAACATAAAAGATGTGGGTTTGATCCCCAGGTCAGGAAGATCCCCTGGAGGTATTTATGGAAGATCCCCAGGCAGTATTCATGCCTGGAAAATCCCATGGACAGAGGAGCCTGGAGGGCTACAGTTCATAGGGTTGCAAGGAGTTGGACATGACTGAAGTGACTTAGCATGCACGCACACACAGGGTTGGTGATGGGGGTGTGTGGACAGGTAGGGGTGACAAGAAGGAGCCTGGATGATCAGAAACAGGGTGAGCCTGAAGGGTGGAGCCTGAAGAAGGGTACTCCTTGCAAAAAGGGGATTTGGGTGAGGTTTGGCTGGAGGGTGAGGTCTAAAACCTTTGCATCTTCTTGCAGGCAGCTTCTTTCTCATCTTCATCAAAATTCATTTGTTAAGCCTCAATTTGACACTGTGCCAGGTGCTATATAAACAGACATGGTCCCTGCCCTTAAGGAATTTCCAACCTAAGACACACACACACGCCGACATTTTGTTTATTTTAAATATTAATGCATTCCCCACCTTGTTCCAGAGAGGATCTGAGACAGCTCAGAGGAACTGCATGCAATGAATTAGTCAAATATAAATAAGAAATAAAGCATCAGGACCACAGAAAATATAGACTGGGTAGAAGGATGGGTCCTGAACTGCAAACATGCCTAGAGTCTCTTGGTGGCCAAGCAAAAGTGCTGTCACAGTCACTTACTGGGTCTCATTCGTTCACTGAGGGAGTCAGCTCCTCTCTGTGCGTACACTTCCCTCCCCCACTGTCCATGTCACATCAGATGACTGACACAAACAAATCAGAAAACCAGAAGTTTCTACTTGATCCCAAGGTGAGGCAAAGGCCCATCTGGCTCAAATCTCCCCATAATCCTGGTGTGTTGTCTTTCAAAGCAATGGAACGACCTGTCACAGCATCATTCATAGACACGGGGGACAGTTTAGGGGAGATGACACCATGTTCAGTCTCACGGGTCATGAGTAACATTTACACAATAATTTGGCTTCCCTGGCAGCACAGTGGTAAAGAATCTGCCTGCCAATTCAGGAGATGCAGGTTTGATCCCTGGGTCAGGAAGATCCCCGGGAGGAGGACATGGAAACCCACTCCAATATTCTTGCCTGGAGAATCCCATGGACAGGGGAGCCTGGCAGGGTACAGTCCTGGGGGTTGCAGAGAATCATACGTTATTGAGCATGCACACATGGGGGTAGGGTGGGTACAGAAATTTACCATTTCCAGGAGGATTTATTGAGAGTCCACATTCCTACAGACAGAACTCCAGGTCTGCAATTCCGAAAAAATATTAGTGCTGAAAGCTTAGATTTGGAAGTTTTTCCCAGAAGTTACTCTGGTGCCCCTGAAGTCAGTGAGGCAAGCCGTCTGAGGTTTCACTTTGGGAAAAGGCTGAGCTCAAGGCTGGGGGTGGGGGCGATGCAAGCAGAGGAAAGACGGAAAAGAACATGTAAGGAAGTAGAAGAAGAGCCAGGAGAACATGGAGTACCGGAAGCCCAGGGAGGATAAAGTTTTGACATTTATAATTTTCGACACCAAGAGTCAGGCCTTGGACAAGGCCCTGCGATATGATGGAAAACAACCTGCCTTGTTCCCGCCTTTGGGAGGTTTATGTTCCACTGGGAGCAGACAGACAGGAAAGACTGGAGAGGAGGGCAGGGGAGGAATGTAGAAACTTCGGCTTTGATGTGACAGGGAATAACTGGGCAAGGAGAACGCAAGGAAGGCTTCATGGAGGAAGTGGTATGTGGATGGCCGTGGGTTTTTCCTCTTCCCAGTCCTAGTTCTCAGTATTTCTCAGCAGCTGGTCACAGCCCCCATCCTCTGGGTGGCATTGCCTCCACACCCCACCCCCAACTTGGAAGGTGGCCGCCGACTACCTTAAGTCCCTAGTGATTGGCTCAGAGGTGGGCACCTGGCCCAAGGTATGTTGCTCAAAGCGACCATACTCTGGACCTGAGTTCAACATTTCTGAGAAGCAGATATTCTCTGTGTGCTAGGTTTGTACCAAGAAGAGGGAGTCTTGGGAGTTCCTAGGGACCATCTTGGTCTGTAAGTGTTGGTATCAAGAGGGTTGCTCCTGTCTCCCTAGACCTGGGAGGTGGAGCCTTGGACAAGAGAGAAATGGGCTCCTGGCTCAGTGTGGAACCTGACCCGGATTGTCAAGCTACTGGAGCCAAACGATGTCCGTTTCTGCTCAAGCCCATCTGAGTTGACATCTGTCCCTCGCAACGTCCAGGCAGAGGGAGAGCCGAGTGCGGAGGCCCAGCCTTGGAGAAGGACCCCGTGTTTAAGGGCAGAGGCGGAAGGGTGCCTGGGGAAGGCCGGCAAAGCCAGTGCTAATAGCTAACCGGGCTTCCTCCTGTGCCAGGCATTGTTCCGAGTTGTTTACGTGCATAATTTCACTTAAGGGCCCTGTGAGGTAAGTGGTGTTATTATCCCCATTTTATAGAGAAGCAAACCGAAGCACAAGAGGCCAAGCAAGTGGCCAGGTCACACTGGGCCTCGTGTAGGGTCCACAGATCAAGGGGCGGATGGGGCCAAAGGTCGCTGAGAGATGAAGGGCTGAGGAGGCTGAGGAGACTTTGGTGATGGAGGGTCATCAGTGGAGAGTGGCGGCTGGAGGCCAACGTGCCAGGTGTGAATGGAACCAGGTGAGGGAGCAAAACAGCTGGCAAAGACTACACATCCGTGGGTCTTGGCTACAGGAAGCAGAGGGTCAAACACAGGTCTTTTTTTTCTTCCTTCTGATGGTGATTCTTCAAGTTGTTTACAAGGCAAGATAATGAAAGGGTAGAGCATAGGCCCAAGACCCAGATGGGACCCCCAAGGGGGAGCTCTAAGGCAGGCAGAAAATTGGGGAGAGAGACGGAATAGTCCCAGAAAGGCAGGGAGCACCCCTTCCATGGGAGGCAGGGAACAGGTAGAGGTGGAGCCACCAGTTAGATGCAGAATAGTTGGGGACAAAAGTGTTATTGTAAGGATGTGAGGGTTCAACTGTAAAGAAGGCTGAGTGTCAAAGAACAGATACTTTCAAACTGTGGTGCTGGACAAGACTCTTAAGAGTTCATTGGACAGCAAGGAGATGAGACCAGTCAATCCTAAAGGAAATCAGTCCTGAATATTCATTGGAAGGACTGATGCTGAAGCTCCAGTACTTTGGCCACCTGATGCAAAGAGCCGACTCATTGGAAAAGACCCTGATGCTGGAAAAGACTGAGGGCAGGAGGAGAAGGGGACAACAGAGGATGAGATGGTTGGATGGCATCATCGACTCAATGGACATGAGTTTGAGCAAGCTCTGGGAGTTGGTGATGGACAGGGAAGCCTGGTGTGCTACCGTCCATGGGGTCACAAAGAGTCGGACATGACTTAGCTACTGAACAATAACAAAGGTGTTGGCAGAGCAGGTGATGAGGAGGGCCATCACACAGTGTGACATTCAGTAAACCCCATAAGTGAGCAGGGCAGCATGCAGGTCGGGGGAGGGGAACAGGAAGGGAGGAGAGGCCAGGTGTGAGACTGCCAGGTGGGCTCAAGGTTCCAGGTCATTCTCTCTGCCCCCTCTTTTCCTACAGAAAAGTTGCACACATAGTATAAACATCTCCAGGCCATTATCTACCCTATTCTAGGCTTACCAACTTAAGTTATTGCATCTTAAAGCCAAACTTCCAGGCTGTTTCCCAAGCCATGAGCTGGTCACTCTTCTGCTCAAAACTCACCCTTCTGAGCTGCCCACCAATTCCTTTATGACCTCCCATCCAAGTACTAACCAGGCCAAACCCTGCTTAACTTCCAAGATCAGATGAGATCAGGCATGTTCAGGATGGTATGGCCATAGACACTAATTCCTTTATGATTTGGCCTCAGCCCACCCTGACCACTCTGTCTTACCCCACCCCCCCCAACCCTCCAGTCCAGCTCCTCCAACCCAGACAAAGCCCTCTTGTTCCCATCTGACTCTGAGCCCCACAAGGAAATGACCCAGCCCTCAGGCCTTAGTGACCTTTAACTCCTCCCTGGTGCCCAGCAAACAACAAATAAATGAATGTCATTAGCAGAAAGCCAGATGGAGCAGAGATGCTGAGAGACGGGGAAAAGGTTACATTGGGGTGTCATCTGGCTCATGGCAGAGCTGAGCTCCCTAGATGGGAAAGGAGGCATTGAGGACAGACTTCAACCAGCCTTCTGTAGTCTGAGCTGTCCCCCAAGAACTTGTGTCCAGTCGCTTCCCCTGCAAAGGAATGGACCAGCCCACTCCTGGGTGGGAAGGAAAAGGAGGGTGGAGACAAGGTCAGTCTAGGCCCGTGGGGCTTGATCTGTTTCATACGCAGGCCTGGGACTGGGTCAAAACTAAAAGAGTTTAGTTTTCACTGCTGTAGGTTCCCTGAGACAATATTCTGTAGGGAATCCTAGGCTGTCCCCATGTGACTCCAGAAACTTTTTCCTCTCCATCAGCAGCAAGAGGGTCTTCCCAGATGGCTCAATGGATAAAGAATCTACCTGTTATGCAGGAGACACAAGAGATGCAGGTTCGATCCCTGGGTTGGGAAGATCCTCTGGAGAAGGAAATGGCAATCCACTCCAGTATTCTTGCCTGGAAAATCCCATGGACAGAGGAGCCTGGGGGTCACAGTCTATGGGGTCACAAAGAGTCGGACATGACTGAGCAACTAAGCAGAAGCATTTCACTGAAGGAAGATGTCAAAGTACCAACCCTTTGCCTGCCCAGATGGTGGGAGGCCTTGCCTGGTGGGAGGCCTGACCTGGGCCACTATGGCCCTCGGGAAATGGAAGAGCCTGGTTCTGGTGATGGCCAGGAGCACCCAACTCACTTCTGTTCTTGCAGAGGCATAGCTGCAGCCTGACACCTAGTGCTTGAGGCTTGGGAGATGCAAGCCCGCCCCCCAGTGGTCACATGTCATAACCGCAGCCTAACAGCCCATCAAGCCTCCAGGCCAAACCCGGCTCAGGCAGAGCTGGACAGGGGGCACCCCAGCAGCCTGGAGCACCTGGCTCTGGAGACCTCTGTGCCCAGGTGAAAGGGATGTACGAGAGCAAAGAAGCATGAAAGCGTCACAGACATGCAAGCACGCCAACAAACCTCTGCCTTTTATTCTGGTTTTGGAAATAAGGATACAGGTCAGTGAGGTCAAATAACCCACTCACGGTGGTTCAGCCTGTAAGCATCACTTGTGGGCCAAGTCACATCCACATGGCGCTAGTCTACCACCCTAATCAAATGAGACAATTGGCTTCTGCCCATCAGAGTGGCCCAAGGAGGCTTAAAAATACTGTTGGTGCCTCTGAGCCAGACCTACTGGATCCAGATTCCTGGGCATAGGATGGGAATGTCTCCAGGGCCACTCTATACTGCCAGTTGGGCACCAGAGAACAGGATGGTCCTCTCCTGGAGGCCAGGGACATGCTTGATTCATGCCTGAATCTCATAGTACTGGCCCATAAAGGTACTTAATATTATTGGAGAAATGAAAGAATGAACCCATGAGCAGATGAATCAATGATTCTGAGGTCCCCTCCTGCTGTGACAGCCTATGTGACTCCTGCACACGATTAGTGTGCTACACACACATTCACAGACATGCACACACACAGACATGCACATGCACACACACAGCAAAGGAAACCCAGCCTGCCACCCTGCAGGTGGCGTCAGCTGCCCAGAGCTGCCTGCCCCTCCCACGCCCCTCACTGGTACACACCTCCTTCTTCACTGGTCTGTATTATTGTGCACCCGTTGGGTGTGTGGCCCAGCCACAGGCAGACACTTGTTGGTGACCCTTAAGTGCCAGCCCCACCCGGTGGAATTGCAGGCCCCAGGGCTGGTTACAAGCACGAAGGGGAGGGCAGGGCGGCAGGAAGGCTGGAGAGGCCGTACGTGCGTCAGCCAGCAGGCGGGTAGCAAGAGGCCCCTTTTGGCGGGCAGCCGGCTCTCACACTTGGCTGAACAGAGACAATGGTGGCTGCCTGGAGGCCCGGCCTTCTTCCCACAGGCAGAGCCTCGGGTCCTCGAGTGTCCGGTGAACAGCCCAGCTGGGACACAGCCAAAGGGAGCACAAGGGGGCTTCCCAGGGAGGGTGGCAAGGGCCCCTGGGAGCAAGCTGGGGCAGGGAAGGGGTCCCTGAGTGAGTCCTGGAGCTTCCAGGGGAGGGGTGTGTGGGGAGGGAGCCAGGCCTTCACCACCCCTCGCAACTCTCCAGAGCCCCCAGGGAACACAGCATGCGTCACCACCTCTTACCCTTAGCCTCCCCGAACCTGGAGCACCTCCTTCCCTGCTCTGGGGAGGCAAAGGCCCCTGCTGCAGGGCTCTCCACTGAGCTCTGGGCACCCCACCCCTTCCAGCCCTCGCTGACCACCATCGGTTCCACTCTGATGGTCAGCCATTGGCCATGGGAGGCAGGGCCTCTCTCATCTGCCCCCTGTGTGTGCAGGATGCAGGGAAGACCAGACAAAGGCAGGGGGCCCCAGAGCCAGCCTCACTGAGCCCTTGAACTTGCCGAGTCTCTGCTCCTGCCCAGAATGCTGTTCCCCGCAGTGGGCAGGGCCCAGCTGGGGTCTCCCAGGACCTCTTCCAGCAAGTCACCTGACTTCCAGAGCAAGACCGCTCCCAGCGCTGCAGCTCCCCTAGCCTGTCTGTGCCGAGGTCTCTGCTGCCCTGGTCTTTGTCCTTGAGGATGAGGGAGCTCGCAGGGCCTCTGACTCTCAGAGAGCTGAGAAATCCCCCAGGTCCAGGAAAGGTGTCCTCTGTGGCTTCTAAAGGGATGGAGGGTGGAATGGGATGAACTGTGGCAGCTGAGTCAAGTCCTTGACCTCTGTCCTCTCTTGGGAGCAGCAGGGGTGGGGGCAACAGTGTCAGAACTCCAGTGTGGTGTGCGAGGGAGAGAAGAGGGGGGGACCACACTAGGGTATCCTTCCATGGGGAAGAGGCAGGGCCCCATCCTCAGCATGGACCCGCTGACATAAGACTCTTCCTAGGGTTTCATCCCAAATCCACCGCAGGCCCAGGTTTCGGGGGGGGGAGTTGGTGAGGTGGCCCCGGCTTCATAGTTGATTGCGGTTCCGTTTGGGGATGATTTTCCGGTAGGTTCTGCGCTCTGAGATGTTGCGCTTGACCTTGGCCGTGGTGGGGGCCTCATCCTGATGCAGCGACGGGCTGGAGTGGGACTTCTTCAGGCTGGGCTTGGGCTCTTGCAGGCCTCTAGCCTCCCTCCCCAGCTGTTCCTCCCACAGGTCCAGGTCTTCTGACGGGCAGTGCAGACGGGCCACGAGCAGCTGCAGGTAGGTCTCATAGCGAGTTTTCTGGAACACACATGGGTCCCACTGCCTCAGCACCACCCCAGTTCCAGGTCGGGAAGGGGCTGGGATGGTGAGGGACAGACAGATCACACTGAATGATGTTACAGGGACAAAGACTTCTGCAGAAAGAGGGCTGGGCCAACAGCTAGCATTCCCTTGGACAACGATCTCAGCAGATCCTGTCCTTCCCCGGGTATCTTAGAGTTACACCCATCGGCCTGGCCCTGTTCGATACAGCCAACACTACCTGGTGCTGTAACTAACATCTCTGGAGCACGTCACGTCGCTGAGACACTAAAAGATCCATAACCCACTAGGCTAGAGATCTGTGCAGCACCGCACACAAACAACACACATCTGTACGCAGCCCTCGTTGAGTCTGAATAGCATTTTAACAACTGGCATCTGGAGAGCATGACGCTAACTACCCTCATCTGCCTAACACTCCTCGGGCCCCCGTAACTAGCATCCTTCAGATACAGTTCCCAGTTTACTCAGAGCTTTCCCACCCTCCAGCCCACTGGGTCCTCATCCCGGCCCTGGGAGGCTGGTAGGAGTCATCACTGTGCTTTATAAAGAGGGAGGGTCAGTGTTAGTTGCTCAGTCATGTCCGACTCTTTATGACTCTTCATGGCCCCATGGATTGTAGCCCGCCAGGCTCCTCTGTCCATGGGAGTCTCCAGGCAAGAATACTAGAGTGGGTTGTCATTTCTTTCTCCAGGGTATCTTCCTGCCCCAGGGACCGAACCCGGGTTCTCCTGCATTGCTGGCAGGTTCTTTACCATCTGAGCCACCAGGGAAGCCCACCAGAGAGGGTGAAGGCCTTGCTAAAGGTCCCAGTGAAAGGCTGGTCAGTGGGGGGGAATGGCTGGAGTGCTGCAGGCAGGGCTGGATCCTATCAGCCAGCCCTGGGACCACGGGGAAGTGGCATGCTCACGGCCATGGATGCAGCCAATGCCCCAAGAGGATGAGCTAGAAAGAGCGGGAGAGGATAGTGCAAGGCTGGTGGGCACAGACAGGAGGTGACACTGACGCTTGCTCCCCTCTCCGCCCCTGGGTGGCCTCTGCCCTCCTCTGTTATCACACCGCCCCTCACCCACTCTCCTGCTGAATTTGGGTGCAGGATTGGGGGTGGGGTGAGGAAAATATTTCAGCATCAATCAGAGAGCTGACAAAGATCATTCCTTAGTTACGGCCATGAATGAGGCATGGATGTGATCAGATCTCATGCAAGTATATCAGGTGTGAGCAAGTTTAATCTCTCTGTGCCTCCATTTCCTCATCTGTAAAATGAGGATTAGTGTCCTTACCCCAGAGCAGCTGGATGACTAAATAAGACAATCCATGCAACAAGCTTCAGAAATACTGCCTATTATAATAGTATTAGGTAGGTATGAGGGGAAATAATTCTGTTAAAATATAGGTTTTCCATGACCTCCCTGGCGGTCCAATGGTTAAGACTCAGCACTCCCAATGCAGGGTGCATGGGTTGGATCCCTGGCCAGGAACTAAGATCCCATGTGCCAAAAGGTGTGGCCAAGAAAATTTTATACACACACACACACACACACACATATATAAAATAATATAATAGTTGGGCTTCCCAGTTGGCTCAGATGGTAAAGAATCTTCCTGCAAAGCAAGGGCCCTAGGCTTGATCCCTGGGTTGGCAAGATCCCCTGGAGAGGGGAATGGCAACGCACTCCAGTATTCTTGCCTGAGAATCCCAAGGACAAGGAAGCCTGGCTGGGGGGCAAGACTGAGCAACACACACACACATACACACGAGTGTTACCAGACAAGCAGCTGCTGTGTTCCCAGAACAAGAGGTGAAGTGGCCTGAGTGCACACGGACACACACACCTGTGCAGGCGTGTGCACACATTCGCGTGTGTAGACCATTCACACAGGGCTGGCGTTCTCACCCAAGCCCCTCCCCCTGCCCTGAGCGGCGGGGAGCCAAGGCTGCAGGGACGGCCACGGCCATGAGAGGGCGGCAGAGGGTCCAGGCGGAGGGTGAGACACTCGGACCTCACCTCGTACTCCAGGTACTCCTTCCGCAAGCGGTAGTCTTCCAGCTCCCGGCTGCGGCCTCGCCGCTCGGGTAAGTTCCTCTGCAGATCCAGTAGGTCGTCAGAGGCAGCGTCCAGGCAGTTCTCGTGGGATCGATGCTGCTCCTCCTGGGAGCGGGAGGCGGTGCGGGGAGATGTTTCAAGCCCTCCCTCTCTGTCCCCACCAACCGAAGACGTCCCCTCTCTGTTCCTGGGCCCAGGAGGACAGCTCCATCCTGACCCAGGGGCCCAGATGTTCAGCCCAGCCCCCGTCCCCCACTTCTAGGCCTGGCGCACAGCCTCTCATCTCCCTTATAGTCCTCCAGGGTGTATTGCACCACCACATCCCGCCCTTCCCTCAGGCTCAGGTCTTACCAGGGAGCCCTGGGTTGGGCCCGCGGGCAGGATGGGCCGGACGAATTTGCGCTGCGAGCCCACCGCGGCAGGGAAAGGCGGAGCCGAGTGCGTGGCGGCGGCTAGGTTGATGCGCGCGATCCAGGAAGTCATCTCCTGGGCAGTGCTGTGGGCAGAGAGAGCGGTCTGTTCCTTGGACCACAGAGCGCTAGCCTATCCCCGCCCTCCAGCCTCCGGCGGTCAGCACAGCCACCCAGCTACAAAAGCCAGAAGTCCTGCCACTAGCTCAGGTGGCTGACCTCTGCTGGTGGTTTTTCTCACCCAGCAGAGGCAAATCTGGGAAGGCAATAGAGTTTATGTTTAGTTACTCAGTCGTGTCCAATTCTGGGACCCCAAGGAGACTGTAGCCCGCCAGGCTCCTTTGTCCATGAGATTCTCCAGACAAGAATACTGGAGTGGGTTGCCATTCCCTTATCCAGGAGATCGTCCCGATCCAGGGATCGAACCCAAGTCTCCTGCATTGGCAGGTGGGTCCTTTACCACTGAGCCACCAGGGAAGCCCAATACAGTTTATATCAAATGCCAAAAAATAATCAAGTGTTCATGGCTTCCTGGAATCCTCTGTTTGGAACTGGGAGGCTTAGTCCAACTTTCAAGGAAGAGGTGGTCTCAGGGGTGAAACGGGCTTAGGGCAGGGGATGGTAGCCGGAAGTTCCCCGCTCCCCACACTTCATGTGTATCTGGGGCCCACCAGTGAAACATCTCAGGTCAAGCCTGCACCTCCCTCCAGGGTAGGGCCAGCACCCATCAGAGGATGAGAGGTTCACAGGATGAAGGCTGGGGCCTTGCTATCTCTCATCCCCGCCCCCGACTTACGGTGCCTGGAAGAGGTAGAGGCGCCAGTCAGCCGTGCGCAGCTGGAAGACATGTGGCTTCTTGGTGTAGTGGGTGGCGGGGGTGGCTAGTGAGTGGTGCACCCCCACCGGCTCATCCACCATCTGCCCCACCAAACTCTCCCCATCAAGGCCGTGGTCCTCTCCCTGCCACAGGGCAACAGGGGCTCAGAAAAGAGGTTTCCATCAGCTGCCCACCCTCCCACACGGCCCATCAGGGGTGCAGACACCCTCCCTACCTTCAGGAAGTAGAGGACCATCCCTCGAAGTAAGGTGTGGAGCATCTTCCAGCCGCGCTTACCCCATGGCGCTACTCGGGAAGCAGAACACGAAGGTGGGTGATGATCCCCCCCACACATCGACACCCTCAGATGCACACCATCTTACCACCGCCAGTCCCTCCCCAGGGTGCACAGAAACACACAGAAGCACACCAACACAACAAAACACAACAGATCACAAGCAGGCAGTACTGTGTCTCACACACATGGGCAATCATGCTTAGATACCAAAACAGAGCTACTTACGAATAACAACACAAGTAGATGCTCACCCAGTCCATCCTCCCTCAAACACGCCCACCCACAAGCACAGCTCTTCTGGGACCTCTTTCTAGTCCTATCCAGAGAGACACAGGGGCTCAGAAGCTAGGGCTGAAGGCCTACTTCCCCATGGTCACCTCTTGGCCTTGCTCATGTGGCTTCTCACAACCAAATGCCAGTTCCCTAGCTGGTCACCACAGCCCCATCCATCTGGGATCCTACTCCTGCTCCGGTCATGTGGCTCCCTGCTCCAGAGCCCTCAACGGTCTGCAGAATGAAGCCCAGTGCACCTGGCGCCATCTTTTCTCACACAACCCACCCTGTGCTCTTTTCCTGGTGGGGATCTCTCTGCAAATAACCAGACCCTCTTTTCCTCCAAGGTTCAGTTCTGAGACCATCATGTCCCAGAAACCTTAACTGTCCTGTCTCCCACATTCTACCCCCAAAACAAAAACAGAAGCCTCACCCTCCCCCACACCCCATACCCGATCGAGACTTCCCTGCACCACACAGCTAGCTCCTCTGTTTATCCCAGACATTGCCTTGTTTGTCTAATTCCCACCTTGGCACAGAGGCCCAGGGGGCGGGGGATCCCTAGGTTTGTCTTGTCTCTGCATCACCTCCCTCACCCCCAGCCCCGAGCTTACAGTCACTATTGAGGAAGGACCATGGGCTGCCCGTCCTCCACCCATGTCGTCTCTCTGCACACCTGCACACACATCGGCTCAGGACATCGTGTTTCTGGGCAGGGCGCTCTGCACACACTGGTAGACAGATGCCCGACAGCAGGCAGACACTCACTCTTCTTGCCATCCGCATCCTGGTGCATCTTCCGGGCCAGGAAGCCCTGCTTGTAGGTGGGCACTGTGGGGTCCTGGGCCAGCTGGAGGAAAGGGTTGCTCATCTTGCCAGCCGGGGGAGACGGCCGGGCCTTCTCGGGCCTGGCTGCGTCTTCTTCATCCCTGGGCATCAGAGAATCGGGCTGGGGCTGCTTGAATGGGCAGAGGCCACCAGGAGGCACCCCTGCCTCAGGACCCACCCTCTCTCTTGCTGGACAGCCACACCTCAGGACCCCCTAAAAGAAGCCCTCCTGCAAGGTCAGCCCATCAGTTCCTTCATCCCTATGCCCTCATGGCCTCTGGCTCCTCCAAGTGTTACATGCCCCCCTGCACCCTCTCTGAGACCAGCCTGATGCCCTGCCTCTGGCTCCACCCATGCAGAGGGGAGCACTGTCCGGGACCCTGAACTCTCCCACTCAGCTGGGTGGGAGGAGGGCGGGAAGGAGAGAGGGTGGGGAGGGAAGATGGGTCTCACTTACACAGCCCACTCGAGCTTCTCACTTCGGATAGACCAGTAGAGGGCCTGGAACAGAAACACACAGCTGGGCCGGAGAGCCTCAGGCCAGGGGGCCCATACTCTGGCAGAGGTAGGATGGGCATGCTGCCACCTCCATCCCAGTGCTGCTGCCCTTCTTCCCTGGGCAGCAGGCAACCCATGGATCCATGCATGCAGGCAACAATTTATCAGGCATTCGCCATGTGCTGGGCACTGTCCTGGGGGCTGGAGACACAAGGGTGAACAAACCAACCCCTGTCCTTCCTTGGACTTTTGTTTGTGCTCAGTGTGACCACATGGACTCCAGCCCGCTGTGTGTGTGTGCTTAGTCATTCAGTCAGGTCTGACTCTTTGCGACCTGATAGACTGTAGCCCGCCAGGCTCCTCTGTCCATGGGGATTCTCCAAGCAATACTGGAGTGGGTTACTATGCCCTTCTCCAGGAGATCTTCCCAACCCAGGGATCAAACCCAGGTTTCCTGCATTGCAGGCAGATTCTTTACCGCCTGAGTCATCAGAGAAGCCCATAGCCTGCCAAGCTCCTCTGTCCGTAAGATTTGCCAGGCAACAATACTAGAACAGGTAGCCATTTCCTCTGCAGGAGAGCTTCCCAACCCAACGATTAAACCCAGGTCTCCTGCATTGCAGGTGGATTCTTTACCATCTGAGCCATGAGGGAAGCCCTTTCCTTGAATTTAGTGAGGCCTGAACTAGTTCCCTTGAAGGGGAAATGAATCACCCACATACCATCCTGCCCAGAGGGATCTGAGGCAGCAGGAATGGCTCACTACAGAGTAGTCAGCATTTGCTGAGTCAATGAATAAACAAGATGCTATGACTTTGAAATGATATGACCAAGAGTACGCATGTCCACGCGGCTGGCTGGCTTCTGAAGCTCTGGCCACACCTAGTGGGGGTGCCATGCAGATAGTAAGTGTTCAGTCAATGTTCGCTGAATAGACAGGAGAATAAAATGCTGTGATTGCTTATGAAAGCAGCCTGTGTGCCAGGCCCTGGACTAAGCACTTGACCACCTTAATTTCATCGTGGTAACAACCCTGCAAAATGGTCACACACCCTGGGAGAACTTGCCTCGGCCAAAGTGTAAGCTGCCCAAGGCTAGAATTCAAACCCTGCAACCTCTGGCTCCTGAATCCTAGCTCCAGACTTTCACCATGTGAAGCTTTACGCCAAGGACCAAAAACCAGCGCTTCTCAGACTTCATAGGCCTAAGAGTCACCCAGAGGCATAACGGAACAATGTAGGGGCCCAGCCTGAGATTTGATTCAGTGGATCCAGGCCAGGGGGATGTGAATTCACACAAGCTAATACATTTCAAGGGGACACTGATGCTGCAGGCTGGGCAGTATCACTTTTAATTCCCTTCAGTAAAGAAGGCCTGTTCTGGGATTTCCCTGGCAGTCCAGTGGTTAAGACTCTGTGCTCCCATTGCAGGGGGGACAGGTTCGATCCCTGGTCAGGGAACTAGATCCCGCATGCCACAACTAGAAGATGTTGCATATTGGTGACAAAGACCCAGGAAAGTCAAATAAATAAATAAGGAATTATGTTTTTAAAAAGGCGTGTTGTCTCAAGGATGTCTTGGCAGAGCCAGGCCTGAGCTCATGTTCCCCTTGAGACAGCAAGCTGAGATTCTAGGCCCTACATGGACCCCGTGCCGTACCTTGAGCAGTTCTTTGGGGAAGTTCCCGCCGTCCCGCAGGCCGTTCAGGTTGGTTATGAATTCCTGGCAGCTCATGCTCTTCCCAATGTTCTGTGGCCAGAACATGTGAAGAGGCGGGCAGCTGGCACACATGTCCCACTCCAGCAGCAAGACCCCGGGCTGACCACCCTGAACCTCCCCTGGGCCCCCAGGGCCCTCCCTGACCCCATCCCAGGCCTTGGTCTTGGTTCCCCTCTCCCAGGACCCCCACAGGCTCTCACCTGTCCGTGCAGGTCCGTGTTAAGGAGCATGATGGCGCAGGTCAAGGTGTGCACACAGTCTGCCCCCACAGAGAGAAAAGGCCGTTGGAACTGGGACTCCACTGCCTCTGCCCACCCTGCTGGGGGGACCTCCCCAATGCTTCTGGGCTCCCATGGCCCCCCAGCACACTCCCACCAGTCACCACCCAGTGAACCGGCCCCTCCCTACCTACTGAGGAGAAAAGCCCGGGGTTGCAGTGATGGAAGCGCTTGGAGAACTGGTAGAGGATCCGCTCTCGTTCCTGGGTCTCCCCACTGAGCACCAGGGCCTGGAGGAAGCCCCTGGAAGGAGGGCCCAAGTCCAGGCAGAGCCAGGCATCCTGAGCTCGGAGCCAGCCAGAATCCAGCCTCTGCTGGTGGTGCTTCCCCCCTGCTTCCCCACCAGCCATCCCTCCTCCCCAGAGAAGGCTCCCAGGTGTTACCGGAGTGCGCGGTCCAGGCTCTGGCCTCCGAACTGGAAGAAGGACAGGTACTCCTCAGCCACGGCCCTGCTGAAGTCATTGCTGCAGAAGGAAAGTGGGGATGAAGCCTGGATGGGGACCAGCGGGCCTCCTGGGGCCCGACGGGGGCTGGGGGTGCGATCAAAGGAAAAGCACAGCCAGGGTGGACCCTGGGGCCCAAGAGGGCACCGGCAGCCCCTGGGACCCCATCAGCGCTGAGCAGGAGGGACATGGGATTGGGGTAAGGGAGGCAGGTGGGCAGGTCTGGCAGCTCTAGGCAGGGACTGAGGGTGGTCCAATGTGACTAAGAGACAGAGGCACAACAAGGGTCTGGGGGTGAAGGGGCGGGGGTGCGGTGGACAGGGCAGGAGTGAAGGCATGAGAGGTCAGTGGCGGGGGGACACGGGCAGCAAGGATGGCCCATCAGTGGTCCTCCCCATCCTGACTAGACATCCAGCCTTGCTTGAGTTCAAAAGCCCTTACTTCTTCCTCAGGTAGGCGGCCACTTGAGACTTCCGGAAGCCCTCCAGGTGATAGAGGCGAGAGGCCAAGTTCCAGGCCACCTGGTCAGTCCTGACGCCGTTCGCCAGCTTGCCTCCAGCCGGGGGCCTCTGGCCTTCCTCTGGGGGTTTCACTTGGGGCACAGGGCTCCCAGGCAGCCTGTGGAAGTCCATCATTGTCCTCAGGCTCCCATTTGGGATGGAGACAAAGGGCTTCTGGGTCAGGTGTCCTTGAGATCAGTTGGGGCTGTGGGGGGCAGGAGTGCTCAGAGTCCATGCCCAGAGCTCAGAGTGGGAGCTGGGGCTACCCTCTACCCCCAGGGAAGAGTGTGGGTCACAGCCCGCCTGACCTGACCTGGGCACCAGGAAGGCCCAATGAGGGCAGTATCCACACCAAGCCAGCAGGGGCTGGAGCCGAGGTTGGTACCAGCACGTTCTCAGGTAAACCACAGGGATGCACTGAGCCTAATTCACCTTGGGTGGCAGGTGCAGCCCTTTGAAGACCCTGGTGGTATTGAATCCATCCCAAGGAGGGGTGGGATTACCTCCCTAAACCCCAGCAGCCACTTGTGTCCCTCACCTCTCCTGCCCTCCCCATCATGCCTCCTTGCCCGCCTTCCCTACCCTAAGGCTCCAACCTCCACTCCTAGATCTGCAGCCAAGGATGATGCAAGGATGAGGCAAGAACCAGAAGCTAGACTGGCTTTAGGGATGGTGATAGCTGGGGTTGCCATAGAGGTGGTTTCCAACCCTTGCCCTCCCATACCAGCTGTCCTGTCATATAGAAGGGTCTCATTGCAGGGGCTTCGATGGGGATCTACAAAGGTGCACAGGCCCAGGAGACCCCCGGGCAGACTCAGGGAACACTCAGAATCTCAGAAGTCACCAAGACCAATCTCCATCTGACTCCTGCATTGTCCCTGCAACACTGCAACCAAGTACTGGGGTATCCTTGTTATTATCATCCAAGTTGCTTCCCAGGTGGCTCAGTGGTAAAAAAAAAAAAAAATCTGCCTGCCAATGCAGGAGACACCGGCTTGATCCCTGGGGCAGGAAGATCCCCTGGAGGAGGAAATGGTAACCCACTCCAGTATTCTTGCCTAGAAAATCCCATGGACAAGGGAACCTGGGCGGACTGCAGTCTATGGGGTGCCAAAGATTCAGACACGGCTAAGCGACTGAGCACATGCGAGCACGCATCATCCAGGTTACCACAGTTAGGGAGTTGTACAGAGAAGCAAAACTTTTCACAATACGAAAATGTTCACCAATGGACTACCCACTTATAAAATTCAGCTGGACTTAGTATTCCTCTCCAATTAACACAAATGCATGTCTCTGCCCCCAACTGGGTCAGTGACTTTGCTGGTAACTTCTCCCTACTCCCTGAGGCTCATCTGCATCCAACAAGGCAAACATAATGGAAATCAACTGAAAAGTGACATTACAAATCTTGCCGAAAAAACATAGGATGTTATGGAGTCCATAAAGTGATACTGGAAGATTCCAGGGGTCACTTGGGAAGCCAGAGACAAGTAGAGGAACAGGAAGGCTTATTCCAATGAACAACTGAGGAGGAGGAAGTAAAAATAATGACATGCTTGTCACATGTAAAGAGAACTATTTGGGGGACTTCCTGAGAGGTCCATCGGTTAAGACTTCATGCTTCCAATGCAGGGGGCAGAGGTTCAATCCCCGGTCAGGGAACTAGATCACACATGCCTTATGGTACAGCCAAAAAATGTAAAGAGAACTACCTGGATAATCAGCTGACGAAGCCCTCAAATACTTTTACCAAAATGACCTAGTCAATTAGTATTGTTACTAAAATAACATCTAGATAGGGAGGCACTTTGAGGGGAAAAAAAAACCCCACAAAGCAAATATAATCTGTTATGGAATCGTATACTTTAAATGGATGGATTGTATGATATGTGAATTATATCTTAATAAAGTTGTTATTAATCTTCCTGACCCAGGGATTGAACCTGGGTCTCCTGCACTGCAGGCAGATTCTTGACCATCTGAGCAACCAAGGAAGCCCAAAATAAAATAAAGTAATAAATAGACCTTTATGACCTCACTGTGAAAGTTAAAGATAAATGAGTGACATCTCACTGGGCCAGCAAATTAGGCCAGGAAAATTAACTTCCTATATTGTATTAAATATAAGATTAAATAAATTTATTTCTGTAATATTTAGTGGGGTTTACCAAGAAAAGCATCAGTTAAACCTTTTTCATTACCTACTATGAAAGTATGGCTCACATTTTAGGTAGATTTACTTTTATTTGGGGTAGAATTAAGGTTAATTTCTGGTACAATGAATGCTCTCTTTTTAGATACTGAGAGACTCTTCTCATTACCCTGAACATCTCCAGACACCATGCAGTATTCCAGCGGTGGAAGAAAGATGCTTCTTTGGTTTCTGATACTGCCTGAGGTTCACCATCACTCAATGACATTAAGATTGGAGTGGAGTTAACTTTCCAGTTAGTGTAACACCTTCCAGTTCGTGTAACACTTAAACCATCACTGATGTTCCCTGATCTCTTTCATCTGACCTCAATTTGGCCAACAAAATCCCTTTTCCATGGAGAGATCCTAGAGGCTAACAGGCTTCACGTAGTATCCTTGGGACAGGAGGACATTTAAATGGATTTCCAGGTGGCCTATTCCTACCTTGGCTCACAGTTCTGGGGTCATTCAATCCTGCTATGGACCCCAAGGTCCACCATTCCTTTGGTACCAATCAAACCTTCCCCTGCTACTCTGTGAGGGAGAGAGATCTGGGTCAGCACTCTGGGCCTCCCAGTCACATCTTCAAATTCATAGCAGCATGTAATCCCCACACCACTAGCTCTGACCATCCCTCTTCCCAGACCTGCCTAGCATGACCCCCATCCTTCTGTACTCATGGTCCTGGTCAGGTTCACTGCACAACCCCCTGGTCGTCTCCTGGTGTCTGGTCGTGGACATGTCTCCCTGGCTGTCCCTCGGCACACGCAAGTCCTGCCCTACGTGTATGACCATCTGCTCTTTGGTTTCTTGTGCTTCTAAACCCTCCAGTCTGTAATCCCGGCTTACATACATTCTATGTTAGGTCCCAGCATGCATTTCTCATGTCACCTCACACCAGTCAGAATGGCTATCATCAAAGAGTCTACCAATAATACATGCTGGAGAGGATATGGAGAAAAAGGAACCCTCCAACACTATTGGTGGGAATGTAAATTGGTGCAGCCACTATGGAGAACAGTATGGAGTTTTCCTAAAAACCTAAGTATAGAACTACCATATGATCCAGCAATCCCAGTCCTAGGCATACATCTAGAGAAAGCCATAATTGGAAAAGATATATGCACCCCAATGTTCACTGCAGCACTATTTACAATAGCCAAGACATGTAAACAACCTAAATGTCCACTGACAGATGAATGGATAAAAAAGATGCAGTATACACTGAGGGCTTCCCTGATGGCTCAGATGGTAAAGCGTCTGTCTGCAATGCTGGAGACCTGGGTTTGATTCCTGGGTCAGGAAGATCCCCTGGAGAAGGAAATGGCAACCCACTCCAGTACTCTTGCCTGGAAAAATCCCATGGACAGAGAAGCCTGGTAGGCTACAGTCCATGGGGTCACAAAGAGTCGGACACAACTGAGCGACTTTACTTACTTACTTACTTATACACATATATACACATACATACAATGGAATATTACTCAGCCATACAAAAGAATAAAATAAGCCATTTGCGGCAACATGGATGGACCTAGAGATTATCATACTAAGTGAAGTCAGACAACTATTGTATGCTATGACTTATATATGAAGTCTAAAAAAAAAAAGATACAAATGAATTTACTCATAAAACAGAAATGGAAAAAAACTTACGGTTACCAAATGGGAAAGAGGGGTAAGAATAAATGAGGAGTTTGGAATTAACATATACACACTATTATATATAAAACAGATAACCAATAAGGACCTACTGTAATAGCACAGGAAAGTATTCTTAATATTTTGTAATAAACTATAAGGGAAAAGAATCAGCCTGGGTATTCTTAAATGCCTGCATAATTAGGAGGCAGAGGGTGGTTAGAATGACACTTACGTTTTTGCAGAGGTCAGGCAAGCGTCAGGCTGTCTGGCTCCGGCCTCCGCAGTCCTGGCGGGGCTTAACTTTACTTCCTTCCCTTGGTTTGGGGCCTCTCCTGCCTCCCCTTTTTCCAGGGAACCTGGCTCCACCCCATCTGTCTCCAGGAATGAAGGGCTTGGAGCATCTAGTGTCCACTCAGGAAGAACACTGCCTGGGGGGCGGCCCTGCAGCCTCAGGCTGCCTTCCCGGGAGGAGACAGGGCTGGGCAGGGAGTTGGAGCCTCTGACCCCAGACTCAGGGCTGCTCGGCTCCGGCGAAGAGGCTGGGCTCCCCCAGGGGTGGCCAGGGGCCACAGTGCAGGGAGCAGACTCCTGGACACACTCTGTATCCTTGTCACCTGAGAAAGAGCATGGAATGAAGCTGGCACGGGGTGAGGGGCAGGCTTCGGGCCAAGGGGCCTGGCAGAGCCAGGGAACAGCCTGGGCTGTCATCACCAGCATGTCCCCCTCCCCTACCCCCCCGGCTCCTCCCTGAAACTGCACATTCTGTCCCTGGTCATGGGGCAGTGACCTCCCACACATGGGGCAGCAGGCAGAGAACTCCAGCCCCAGGGCAACCACGGGTTCAAGGTTGCTAAACCATGAAGATCCCGGCATCCAAAAGGCTGGGTCTTTTGTTGCTGTTGTTCAGTCGCTAAGTCGTGTCTGACTCTTTGTGACCCCATGGACTGCAGCACGCCAGGCTTCCCTGTCTTTCACCATCTCCCGGAGCTTACTCAAACTCATGTCCATTGAGTCGGTGATGCCATCCAACCATCTCATCCCCTTTCATCCCCTTCTCCTCCTGCCTTCAATCTTTCCCAGCTTCAGGATCTTTTGCACATTTCATCATTTACTCTATGAGATGGTATTTTACTTTATTTAAAAAAAATTAAAAAAAAAACTTTATTTTTCATTTACTCTATGAGTATTTTATTTTAATTTTTAGTCTTCATTTACTCCCAAGAGATGGGTATTTCATTATTTATTTTTTTAATTTACTTTTAATTGGAAGATATGGGGGTGGGCAGGGGATGAGATGGTTAGATAAGCATCCCCGACTCAGTGGACATGAATGTGAGCAAACTCCAGGAGATAGTGAAGGACAGGGAAGCCTGGCGTGCTGCAGTTCATGGGATCGCAAAGAGTCGGACACAACTTAGCGACTGAACAGTTGCTTTACAATGTTGTGTTGGTTTCTGCCATACAACAATATGAATCAGCTGTAGGTATACATATGTCCCCTCCCTCTTGAAATTATTCCCTCCCACTCCCCACCCCATCCTGTCCCTCTAGGTTGTCACAGAGCACTGGGTTGAGCTCCCCGTATTATACAGCAACTTCCCATTAGCAGAGATGGGTATATTAAAACCCATTGTACTGGTGAATTTACAGAGGCAGACACAGAGTTTAACCTCAAGTCTGTCTGGTTCTAATACAATACAAGGGGATCCCTTAACAACACCCCTGGGATCCAAGAATGATCTTTGTCCCCACTCCTGAGCAAGCCCCCAACCACTTGATTTCCCAGACCCCACACTGGATCTCACCTCTGTCCTGGGAGCTAAGAGGCCCTGGGGGCCAGGAAGGAATGACCTTGGTTGGCCAGCCCTGGGTGCTGGGCCCGGCCTGTTGAGAAAGACAGAGGTCCATCCATGAGGCCTGGAGACACTGAGAGGTGTAAGGGGCAGCGTAGGCAGGGGAAGATGGGGAGGGAGGCAGAACTATAAGTATACAGGGCCCTCCTTCCCTGCTGTCCTCCCCCATCCCAGACCACACTCCCCGATCTGGGCCTCGGTTCAGAAGAGGCACCCTGGATAGGACCCACGTCCTAGGTGGGCTGGTGCTGGGCCCCGGAAATCAGGGGGCTCATGTTCCCTCTTTACAGATGGAAAAGGTGAGGCCCAGAGAGGGGAAGTGACTTGCCCAAGGTTGCACCGGATGTGTGGCGCGTCTGCCATTAGATTCCACATGTTCTGTCTCCCAGCTAAGTGTTTGGTCCACACAGGATGCTGCAGGCGAGGCAGGCTCAAGGCTGTCTCTCAGAGAACTCTTCGGGAAGAAAAGGAGGAGAGATTTGCCCCAGGGAAACTGCTTCCAGGGCCTTTCTGACACCCCTCTGGCCTCACCCATGTTCACTGACTTCTAGTCGTCTCTGCTCTGTCTGCTCAGAATGGGCCCTGCTTCCCGTGGCCCTGCTCAAGGAGAGGCTGTGTTGGAGCGAAGGTCAACAGCCCCCAGACACTGGGCTGGGCTCTGTCATCCCAGATAAGAGCAAACTGCCATCTCCCAGGCCAGGGCTCCCAGGCCTCCCTCTGAGGACCTCAGGGGCCCTGAAGCAACCAGGTCCGAGAACACATGTCACAAAACAGAGCCACAACCACCCCCTACTCCACCCCAGCCTGTGGGTGGAGGGGCCTGGCCAGTGTTCACAGCTCCTCAGATCTCGGGGTCAGAGCTCTTCACCATTGTTCTCTGGGATCACAGAGATTAGAACGTTACAGCCTGGCTCTGCCATCTTGAGTCTCCTTATCTCTTAAGCTGAGGCCTCCCTGGGGAAAAAAAAGTGCTCACATATCTTGTCCCCATAACTTGTGCTAGTTGATATCAAGGACCTCTGCCATTGTCCCGGGGACCTGAGCTGGTGAAACTGAATTCGATGAAAGATGCTAAAAGTAACAAAATGCTGCAATCTTTCCCAGAGAGGACTCAAAGGAGACATCTCCCCAGCGGGAGAAGAGGTCACCCCTGCAGGTTGACCCCTGCCCTGTTACAACTGGGACCGTCTTCGAGGTGGGAGGCCAGAGTCTAAAGACTGGCCTGGAACACACTGCAACGGGAGGAGCTATTTGTTCTTTAAATGTGTCCAGACGCAGCGCCTTAGACCTGGTGAGATGGAGACATTTGTGCCTTAACAAACGTCATCTGCTTAACAACTGAGCATTGTCATCGTGCTCAGCTGACATCACGGCTCCTGTAAAATTCCCTCTACTTCTGAAGGCCACCCCGGGCCTGCCTTTCTGCTCCATTGCTCCCCAAAGGGAAGAGAGTTCTGGGCACAGTGATGGCAGAGGAAGGTCCTTCCTTCTGTCCATGTCCCCAAGCACAGCCCAAGGGTTGGTTCCCGGGGCTCAGTTTACCTCGGTCTCCTCCTGGCTGGAAGGTGCTGAGGGAGCCCCCTCGGGGGCATCCCCCACGACCCAGGAGAAAGAGTGTGGCCTGTAGGTGGGCACAGGGAATGGGGGGGTGGTGTGCCTGCTGGACTCTGCTGTGCTCTCCCCCAGATCCGGCTCACCGCCCAGCTCCCAGGGCACTCTGCCTCCTGGGGGTGGGGGCTCCAGGGTCTGTGGGCTCTGGGGCCCAGTCCTCACATCTACATAGGAGTCCGAGAAGCCCCAGGAGAAGTGCGTTTCAGATGCACTGGTGTCCGAGCAAGGGCTCTCCAGGAAGAGCGGGTTGTCAAAGAAGATGCTCTCCTCCTCGGCACTCCACTCGGGAGACAAGTCCAGTGCGCCCTCCCTCGGCCATGCTGGGTTCTGGGGCTCTCCTTCTGGCCCGCTGCTGTCTTCCCCCGAGGCCTCATCTGCATCCACGGGTGGGCTGGGGAGGAGGCCCGAGTTCCGGGAGCCAACTGGGCTGGAGGGAAAAGTGGGGAGGTCTGCAGGGGCCGCGGGAATGCAGCATCTCAGCTCAGCTCTGAGCCCTTCCGTCTTCTCCAGCTCCTCCTCCAGGTCCAGCACACACATCTGGGCCTGCAGGATCCCCGCCCAGAACACCACCTGTGTGGACGTGCTCTGGCTCTGCCCTGGGCTCCCCAGAGGCTGGCTGTCCCTGGAAGACCCAGGGGAGGTGGTTTTCTGTCCTGCCCGTTCCTGGGAAGAGCTGCTCCCCAGGTGCATGGGCTCTGGGCTGGAGCCCTGGGGACAAACATCGGGCCTCACAGCATCAGGAGGGACAGAGGCCCAGGTCTGCTCCCCGTGAGGTTCAAGAGGCTCAGGGTGGCCATAGGTGTCTCCTAGGTGGGCTTCCGAGTGGGGCTGCAGGTTGTCTCCCAAACAGATGTCGAGGATTTCCACGGGTCTGGGGTGGCCACAGAGTCCGTCGTCGCCCATCATCCAATGAGCATAAGGTGCGCTAGAGCCTTCAGGAGCATCCGCCTTCACAAGCCCATTGTGTGGATTAGAGGGAGCGCTGGCCAGGGGGGCGACTGGGACCCTGCATGAACCCTGGAAGTACCCAAAGCAAACTCAGGTTAGCACTGGGCTGTCAGCCCCTGGAAGCACACAAGCGGCAAGTTACAAATAGTTTTGAGTGCCTGCCACATCCACAGCCCACGTCAAGGGCCACTGCCCTCAACACAGAAGCAGGGGTGAGGAGTGTACCATACACGTTGTCTGACCCATGATCGCAACTGCCTATACCCATGGGGGCACCTGCCCCAAAGACACTCATCTGTTGGCTGAAGGTGGCTCCCGTGGCTGAGCTGAAAAAGATGAACTGAGCACACCAGAGCCTTCTTTGGGGAACCTGGATTGGAGAATGTTGAGGCTGAGAATGTTGGTAGCAAGAACAAAAGGCAGAAATGTCTCAAATTAGCAGGAAAGCAGAGGCAAACCCCAAAAAAAAAAAAAAAAAAGACACGGAAACCAATGTATGTGGGAGCCAAACAGTCAAGGACTGGAGGTGAAAGGAATGAAACAGACTCAAGAGAGAAGCAGGCAGCCAGGGAAGAAAGGCCATGGCCAGTCTTGTTTCTACTTCCCGAGGCTCCAGCCTTCGGGGCCTGCATCCTTGCAACCATGAACCGGCCAATTCTCAGTTACAGCCATGCAGTCTGGCCTAGGTGGAACCAGGAAGAGGAGCACCAGCTAAGCTCAGCCTGGGCTCCTGCAGGGAGGGGGGTGGGCTTCAGCCCACAGGGAAGACTCAGGCTGCATGGGGAGGAGACCACTGCCTTCTTGGTGACTGGGGGTGGGGGGGGGGAAGCTGGGGATGTCCACCCATGTTCCCCTGGGGCTCCACCACATCTATTCAGAGCTGCCCAGTACATTGGCCACACTGGCACTCTGGGCGGGGCCTAATGGGATGCAGCTGAGGATTCTCACGGGGAATTTTCTAGAAGACGTATCTCCATCCCCTGCGTGTGGACTCCAGGTTACACAGCTTTCGGGAGTGCCCCTGCTGCTTCAGAACAACCGGCCTGTTCTGATCCTGTGGACACTGTGAGACTCGTAACTGGACCCATTTCCCTCCTTGTACGGGCCCTCAGGAAGTGTAGGTTAAATCTGCAGGCCCTATGCATGCATTTCCAGGATTAAATGCACCCCAGGGACTTTCCTGTTGGTCCAGTGGCTAAGACTCTGTGCTCCCAACGCAGGGGGCCTGGGTTCAATGCCTAGTCAGGGAAGCATATCCCACTTGCTGCACCTAAGAGTTCACAAGCTGCAACTAAAGCTCCCACTTGCTGCAACTATTTCTTGGTGCAGTCAAATAAATAAAAATAGAACAATAAATGCACCCCAGACCACCTCACATCTTTCATTTTCCCTTTGCCTTACTTTCCTCACTCAGAGATGTCTACTTGGAGGACTGTGTATACATTAAGCTGTTTTTTGAAATATCTGGGGGGAACAAAGGCACAAATAAACACACACATATCCCTGCTCCTGACTTACAACCATGTGTGATTTCCCAATACCCACTGTCCACCTACTTCATGGTCTACCAGGAGACATTCAACAAGGGGGAAGTCTCAGAGACAGGGAACCAAGGCTGGGTGGGGTCCTATTGCTTAAGGTCACCAAGACAGTGCAACCGGGTACTGTTCCTTCTTTCAGGAGGTGCCAGAGAAAAACAAGACAGGACCAGCGTGAATTTCAGTTTCTTATTCCCCTTGAGAGCATCCTCCAAAAAGTCTCTCAAAACCAGAATCCTTTTCTGGGTTTTTACTTCTCCCTCTGTCCCAACCCTCACATCCCTCACTGTGAGCACAGCAAGAATCTGTAATTGCCAACCTGTGGCCTCGGGATTCTGAAGCTTTAGGCCCCAGGAAAGCCCGATTTACCACTGAGTTCTCAGCTGACCTCCCCAGTAGACTGGAACTTCCCAAGAGCTGAGGTCACTTCTTACTTTCAGTCTTGTATTTGATGCTCTGAATCCAATCAATTTGAAATCTGCTCTTCCTATGGGTCTCCAACTCTTTTAGCTCAGCCTCAGTTATCATCTGGGACTTTCCTGGTGGCTCAGATGATAAAGAATCAGCCTGCAGCTCAGGAGACCCAGGTTTGATTCCTGGGTAGGGAAGATCCCCTGGAGAAGGGAAGGGCAACCCACTCTTGTATTCTTGCCTGGAGAATCTTATGGACAGAAGAGCCTGGCAGGCTACAGCTCACAGGGTCACAAAGAGTCAGACATGACTGAGCGATTAACACTTTCACTTTCAGTCATCATTTGAGCATCTTCCTCTCCACCCCATACCTTCCCCAGGTTAAAGGCTGAGGACTTGTATGGTTCACTCCCTAAGTCCTCGGCTGACCTCAGGGGCAATCCCTGGCTACCGTGCTCCCCCCAAGCAGCTGTCTATTTTCAACTCTTCCCCTCTCTGAGTGAGAGCCCTGCTATGATCCTATCTCCATGGGGGAAAGAATGAGTGAGGTCAGAACCCACCATCTGTATTTGGGCAACCCCTCTGGAGCCAAACCTCCCTCCCCAGGCCTACCTGGAGAATGACCAAGTATAAATAAAGAGGTGAGACACCACCCCCCCATGCACACACGCGCGTGCGCACACACACACACACACACACACACACACACACTCTGCAGGCTTCTCAAGGAAACAGCCCTTGAAACTGCTAGGTGCTCGAGCATGTCCGACTCTGCAATCCCATGGCTCCATGGACTGTAGCCCATCAGGCTCCTCTGTCCATAGAATTCTCCAGGCAAGAATATTGGAGTGGATAGCCATTCCCTTCTCCAGGGGATCTTCCTGACGCAGGGATCGAACCTGGGTCTCCCGCATTGCAGGGAAATTCTCTACTGCCTGAGCCACCAGGGAAACAGCCCTTACGGTATGGGAAACTCAGGAAATAGCTCCATTTATGAGATGGAGGGCAGAGGCACAGGGAAGCACCTCCATCACAGACACCTGAACTCGGGGCATCCCTAGCTCCCTTCCCAGACCCCTTGACCATCCCTCCCTGCCAAGACCTGGTCTGTTCGTGTCCAGCAGGCTCCCCTCCTGAGATGCCCCCTCTCCAGTCCTCACTCCTCCTCACACTCTGACATGTGTCTACCTTAGGAGCGAATCCTTGTGGGTATCACAGCATTCTGCCTAAATGACTTCAACTCCTCTCCTCTTGTTAGTGAATTGCTTGACAGCCAAGTTCAAATGACAATAACGGGAATGGAAAATGATGGGCAGGGGGCCGGAGGAAAGTGTGCCCTGCAATTTTTAATAAGACAGGAGTTCCACACATCCCTCTTTGCCAAAGTGCTCAGTCACTCAGCCGTATCTGACTCTGCAAGCCTGTGGACTGTAGCCCACCAGGCTCCTCTGTCCATGGGAATTCTCAGGCAAGAATACTGGAGTGGGTTGCCATTTCCTCCTCCAGGAGATCTTCCTGACCCAACGATCGAACTTGCATCTTGGTGTCTCCTGCATTTACAGGTGGATTGTTTACCACTGAGCCAACAGGGAAGCCCTTATAATTAAACTTGTATATGAAGCAAAGCAGACATACAGGTAAATGTTAATGACCATGCTAGACATAAATGAGGGTTGAACTTGCCTTCCCAGAAGAAAAGGGGTCTTCCTCCATGGATTCAAAGGGAAAGAAAAATCAGAGAAGTTGTAGCAGCTTTCCAGAGACCAAAGGGAACAGATTGCTAGGGCCTGAGGGGACGGAGGGGCGTGAGGGAGGTGGGGTGGGGACTGGGGGAAGACTGACAGATCCAGCACATGGTGGGGAAAGAGCTATGCCAGCACACCACCCCCTTCTCTCTCGTATTTCAGAGCATTTACTCCATCATGCAATTTCTAGTGTGCCAACCCACCTGGTTATCACTTGCCTCCCCTCCCCAGAAGGAGGTTCTTTGTGTTTCTTGCTATCACTATTTCCTACGAAAATGCTACCCCTAATCACTTTAGTGAGCGACTGTGTGAGCCTCTTGATGAAAGTGAAAGAGGAGAGTGAAAAAGTTGGCTTAAAACTCAACATTCAGAAAACTAAGATCATGGCATCTGGTCCCATCACCTCATGGCAAATAGATGGGGAAACAGTGACAGACTTTGTTTTTGGGAGCTCCAAAATCACTGCAGATGGTGAGTGCAGCCATGAAATTAAAAGACACTTACTCCTTGGAAGAAAAATTATGACCAATCTAGACAGCATATTAAAAAAGCAGAGACATTACTTTGCCAATAAAGGTCCGTCTAGTCAAAGCTATGGTTTTTCCAGTAGTCATTTACGGATGTGAGATCTGGACAAGAAAAAAGGCTAAGCACCAAAGAATTGATGCCTTTGAACTGTGGTGCTGAAGAAGACTCTTGAGAGTCCCTTGGACTGCAAGGAGATCAAACTAGTCAATCCTAAAGGAAATTAAGCATGAATGTTCATTGGAAGGACTGATGCTGAAGCTGAAACTCCAATACTTTGGCCACCTGATGCAAAGAACTGACTCATCTGAAAAGACCCTGATGCTGGGAAAGATTGAAGGCAGGAAAAGGGGACCAGAGGATGAGATGGTTGGATGGCATCACCAACTCAATGGACATGAGTTTGAGTAAACTCCGGGAGCTGGCGATGGACAGGGAGGCCTGACGTGCTGCTGTCCATGGGGTCACAAAGAGTCAGATATGACTGATCAGCTGAACTGAACTGTGTATACCCGCTCCAGCTGCCGAGTGTGGGGGGCACAGCGTTATCCTCTAGTTCCAGCGGTTAGAAAGCTGAGGGTTAGTGTGGACTGGATAGGCTCAGGACCACTCATGAGACACCTGGGGTTATAGAGCCTGGTGGCAGGCATCCTGGTTCCAGGCAGACAGGTCCACATGGGCGCACACAACCTCTAGGCAGAGTTGCCACATTTAGCAAATACACAACAGAAGATGCCCAATACTGGGAACATATTTACACTGAAAATCGATTCATTTATCTGAAATTTAAATTTAGCTTTGGACTCTATTGTATCTGACAACTCAACTCATGTTGAGAGCGCCCATCTCTCTGGACATTAGTAGGGTGTCACTCACCTAGCTTGTGCTTTGCATCCCAGACTTCAGGCTTGCCAGTCACCCCATGGGTGAGGCAAGTGGTGACATTGCCCTCCTACTCACAAGGAAACAAAGCTCAGAGAGCTTCAGAAATGTGCCTGGGTAGCTCAGCTAGTGGGTGGGGAAGCTGGGGTCTGATCCAGTTCTGCGGCTCCCTTTAGTGGCACTTTCTTTACACCCGTAAATCAATTCATTTGGGTATTCATGGACTGAACAAAACATGAATTTCTTCTGAGGTGGAGTCACCTGAATTCATCTGTTTCCCCCACTGTCCAGGGCAGGGCCTGCCTGACTCAGAGATGACACTCCGGAAATGTTTGTGAAAATAAGAGGAAAGATGGAGAGATGGATGGATGGAGGGAGGGAGGGATGATGTATGGATGGATAGATGGAGGGATGGATGGATGAATAGAAGGATGGATGGATGAATGAATAGAGGGGTGGAAGAAGGGATGGATGAATGGATGGGTGGATAGATCCTCAGAAAGCTCCCTCCTCACAACCTCACTACAGGACTGGGGAGACTGAGGCTTGGAGAAGGAGATTTAGCATGATTATGACATAAAGACGTTCCCCTAAGGGCAAGTCTGACCATGAGCCAATCACACCTTACTTCCAGGAAGCCCAGCGCCCTAAGGGCAGAGCTTTCCCAAAAGTGGTTCCCACCAAGCCAGCCCAGCCCAGCAGCCAAAACGTCCATCTGGGTCCTGGCTCCAAGGAAGAAGCTGGACAGAGAGGAAGAGAGTTCAGGACCCGTTCAACCACCTTGTCTATGCTCCTCACTAGAAATGCAAGTTGACTGAGTCTCTGTCTCTCTCTCCCACCCTCCTTGCCTCTCCCCACCTACCCCCCACCCCACCCCTTCTTTCTTCTATTGCTTCTCGCTGAATGAAGGGACAGGATGACCTGAGGGGTGAGGTCACTTCTTATGACCAACATGGCAGTCCCACCAATCGCCTGGGTGAAGGCAACCTGACCAAACAAGGGTGAAGAGTCAAGGGTCAAAGGTGGAGACCAGTCTCTGTTTCCTGGAGGTAGGATGGCACCTCTTAGGCAGAGGTGGGCCAGGAATTGGGGAGCAGAGTCCAGGTCTCAAGCATCTAGAATTTTCTTGGTTTATTCCCTCCCCCACCCTTGGTATTTAGTGTTACCTCTTTTAAAATCACTTTAAATCATTTTTAAAATCACTCAGGTATCTCAACCAGAACAAAGGAGAAAGTGTCCAACACGGGTCTCTTAGCTGGGTTCCGTCCTCTCTGAAAGGAGCGGCCCTTCATGTCTCTAAGCACCATGATGGGTCAGGAAGCTTAAGGAAAACTTCTGGGAGAAGTGGGGTGGCTCTTTGGAACCCAAGAAAATGCTCTGAGTCCAGAAGCCAGTGAGGGGAAAGATTGGGGAGGGAGCAGGGGATGAGGGAGGGATGGGAGAGAATGGGTGCTCCACTGGGCAGCCCCCCAGGGCTCCTGTCCAGAGAGGAGTGACCACTGCTGGGGCTGAGTCTGTATTAGCTGATGGTAGGTAAAGGACACAGAACCCGACAGCTGGGGGACCAAGGGGACATAAGTCCCTTCTACCCTCACCTAACCTCTCCCCCCAGCTCCAAGGCAAGGTTTTTTTCCATCTTGGGGAAGGAAGGGGCCCAGATGGCACCCAGATCATCCTTCTGAGAGTGGGTTCTCTTTCCACCCCCTGCTTGGGCACAGAGCCTGGGCCCTGAGGTGTTGAAGGCGACAGGAGGCCAGGGGAGAGCCTGTCCAAGGGGGACAGGGGACAGCACGAGTGTCACACATTCAGCCCCTACTCGCCATGCCCTGGAGGCTCACAGCCTACTCTCAAATCCTAACTACCACTGACGAGCCACGTGACTCTGGTGCAAAACTTCACCTGGCTCCTTGCCTATGAAAGAAGGAAATACGATGGATAAGTCTTCTCAGGAAGTTTGCTAGAAAATGGGTGCAGGGCTTCCCTGGCAGTCCAAGGGATAACAATCCACCTTGCAATACAGGGGACACCGGTTTGTTTCCTGGTCCCAGAAGATCCCACGGGCCACAGAGCAACTAAGCCCGTGTACCACAACTGAGCCTGAGCGCCGTGACTCCTGAGCCCACGCTCTGCACCTCCTGAGCCCACGTCCCACATGCTCTTGAGCCTGTGCTCTGCAACAAGAGAAGCCACGACAATGAGAAGCCTGCAATGAAGAGCGGCCCTCACTCACTGCAACTAGAGAAAGCCTGTGCAGCAACAAAGACCCAGTGCAGCCCAAAATAAATAAATGAGTAAACAAATAAATAAAATCTTTTCAGAAAAGAAGGAGAGAAAATGGGAGGGGGTCTGAGTGCCAATGCTGAGCCTGCCCTTGGGAGGTGCTCAGAAATACCATGTCCTGCTTGGATTAACCTGGCTGCTTTGCAGGTCCATTTGGAGAAGAAATAATACATGAAAACAAGCAAACACAGGGCCCTCCATGAGAGCACGGGCTCGGCCCGATGGGCTCCCTCTGGACCTGAGGAGTCGGTTCCTGGATGTCCTGTCTGGACTGTGTGTGTCTCTCTCTCCTTTTAAGCTTCCAACTCAGAAAGCTGCCTCCTTTCGCCCTGGCAATGTTCCCTTCCTATGCAAAAACCAAAGTCTTCTGGCCCATCCTGGGATTTAGGAGGTGATCTTCCCTGTCCTTCAGCAGCCCTGAGCGGCAGCCAGGTGAAGGGTGTTGCTCTGCGGGCAGTTACCCTCCCCTGCACACTGTCCCCGGCTGAAGTTGCAGGACAGATACCCCTTCCTGAACCTGGGGCCAGGGCACCCGAGGTACATGACATATGATGAGGGGCCACCCCACATCCTGCCCACACGGAAGGCAGCTTCATGCAAATGTGCAGAGAGAGCGAGAGAGAGAGTGAAACACTCACACACATACACACGTCATTGGTGCTGAGAACCCTGAGATGGGTCAGCTGAGAAGCAGGCATGGAGGGAGAATAGAGAGGAAAGAGAAGAAGAGAGAGTGGTGAGCAGAAAGGATAAGCCAGGGGCAGAGGAGATGAGGGGGCAGAGGGCCCAAGGTTAACTATTGACACAGGAGGACAACAAAGCCTCGGGGCCAGCCCGGGCCTCCCTCACGCCTTCCTGGATCTCCCCCTCCCACAACAAAAAGCCCTGAGCCCAGATTTTAATCCATAGGCTGGGTAGCTCCTTATCTGTAGAGCAAGAAGCCCTGTGATGTCCTAAAGCCTGGGAGACAGGCCTCCTGGCTGAGGCCCCACAGTCCTCTGGGATGTTTATTATCAGCTGATGACAGGTCACCCTTCCCAGGCTTTTAGCAGAGAAGAGTGACTCTGCCTGTAGGATCTCCGGCCCTAGAATAAGGGGGCGGTGGCTGAGGATAAGAACTAGGAAGCTTGATATTGTCCCAAACAGGGACGCCATTGAGAGTGAGCTTGTTCCTGTCAACCATCAGGGCGATAAGCCTAAATTCGTGCTGCCAGGGCAAGCCAGCAAGTTGGGCCCCCTCCCCCTAACCCTGCCTTGCTGCGGGGGGCCTGAAGGCAATGCGGGGCTGGGCGACCCAAGTCTGAGCTCCTACGATGACCACACCCAAAGCTGCCCCCACCCCAAAGCCCCAGCCCAAATGGCTTCCTTCTCTCCAGGGTTGAGGGGTCATTTGGGGCCTCTAGCCCATTAACCCCCCCTGGGCACCAGTCACCAGGGACCCAGGGAGGCTCACAGAAGATTCAGGAAGGGTCTCCCTGGGAGGCTGGAGTAAGTGGGAGCCACAGCAGGATTCAGGGAAAGGGCTAGATTGGGAGGCGGCTGGTTGATGGAGAGGAGGAAGGAAAAGGATGGGGCTGTGGCCCGGGGCGGGCTCACAGCCGGTGCACAGGCCTTCAGGGCCCTCCTTCCTGCCCACCTGCCCCACCAGGGTCCGCGCATGACTCCCTGCACCCTCCGCCCCCACCCCACGCAGGCCCACCTTGCTCACCTCCAGAGGACCGGGAAGGGATGCGTGGCCCTGGCTGCCCTGGAGCGATCCTGCCGCCTGGTCCACCCGCCCTGTGAACGGTGAACGTGGCGGCAGCGGCTTCCGACTTCCGCTCCCCTCACCACACTCACCCTCCCTGCCCCCCTCAGGCCTCTGGGGCTCCCCAGCTGCTCTGCACCTCAAACTTCCTGCCCCAATGTGAGAGACCCTGCTCCCAGGCTCAGTGCCTCTGGCCGCCAGCCCCCTGCTCCTGGGGACCCCCACCCTCTGCACAGCCCAGAGTCAGGGCCTGGGAGAGAAAAAGAGGAAGACGCAGCGCCCTGGGCTGTGAGCACGCCCCACCCTCCACCCTGCGGTTCTGTCACCAGGTTCTCGTCTCTGCCCAGCTCTCGGTCCCTTGCACGGCACCCACTGGGACTCAGGAGGGCCCTGGGGCTGCCAACTTTTCTTTTCCCCTCGATTTATGTGTGGCTAGGTCTTAACGGAGGGGCTTCCCAGGTGGCTCAATGGTAAAGGATCTGCCTGTCAATGCAGGAGATGCCGGTTCGATCCCTGGTCTGGGAAGATCCTAGGTGCCTTGGAGCTACGTGCCTTAAGCCTGCACGCCATAACTACTGAGGCCACGTTCCTCCAGCTGGTGCTCCATAAGAAGAGTAGCCCTCACTAGTCACAACTAGAGAAAGCCCTTGGGAAGCAACAACACCCACTGCAGCCAAAAATAAAGTAATTAAATTTTTTTTTTTTTTAAAGACCCACAATCAAGGGCTTCAGGCCCAGGCCAGCCTGGCCCATAGCACAGAGGGCGTGGCTCCAGCTGCACCCACCAACACACACCACACACACACACACAGAGACAGCAAGGAGTCCCTAGGGACATGCCTATCTGGCCTTTCTGCATCACACCCTGGACACCTTGGAATCTGGGATTCTCTGCTTCCTGGACTCACAGGGTCTCTACCCTCTGTGGACATTGCATCACCGCTCTGTGCAGCCCGAGACCTGGAGGGAGGCGGAGAGATAGTCAAGAGGTGAACATGGCCTGGGCTTGGGGGCAGGTCACGTCCCTCTATGCACATGCTGTATCAAGCCAGGGCGGGGGAGAGAGAAGGAAGGGGCTAAAGGCTGGGGGTGGGCTCTGCTGCCATATATGGTGATGGCTGAGGATCCCAATTCAAACTTGGGCCTCCAGGTCATAAGTAAAGGGGGAGGCAGAAGAAGGGAACACTCGTTCTGTAAGAGTTCATCAGGTGTGGTGTTATAACACTGACATATCCAAACACATCTCGACGGGGGGACCCTCCACTGTTCGTTTCTGGGGCTGCAATGCTAGTTCAGTCAGTCAGTCAGTCAGTTCAGTCGCTTAGTCATGTCCGACTCTTTGCGACCCCATGAATTGCAGCACCCCAGGCCTCCCTGTACATCACCAACTCCAAGTTTACTCAAACCCGTGTCCATTGAGTCGGTGATACCATCCAACCATCTCATCCTCTGTCATCCCCTTCTCCTCCTGGCTTCAATCCTTCCCGGCATCAGGGTCTTTTCCAATGAGTCAACTCTTCGCATGAGGTGGCCAGAGTATTCGAGTTTCAGCTTCAACATAAGTCCTTCCAATGAACACCCAGGACTGATCTTCTTTAGGATGGACTGGTTGGATGTCCTTGCAGTCCAAGGGACTCTCAAGAGTCTTCTCCAACACCACTGTTCAAAAGCATCAGTTTTTCGGTGCTCAGCTTTCTTCACAGTCCAACTCTCACATTCATACATGACCACTGGAAAAACCATAGCCTTGACTAGATGGACCTTTGTTGGCAAAGTAATGTCTCTGCTTTTTAATATGCTGTCGAGGTTGGTCATAACTTTCCTTCCAAGGAGTAAGCATCTTTTAATTTCATGGCTGCAATCACCATCTGCAGTGATTTTGGAGCCCCAAAAAATAAAGTCTGCCACTGTTTCCACTGTCTCTGCATCTATTTGCCACGAAGTGATGGGACCAGATGCCATGATCTTAGTTTTCTGAATGTTGAGCTTCAAGCCAACTTTTTCACTCTCCTCTTTCTCTTTCATCAAGAGGCTCTTTAGTTCCTCTTCACTTTCTGCCATAAGGGTGGTGTGATCTGCATATCTGAGGTTATTGACATTTCTCCCAGCAATCTTGATTCCAGCTTGTGCTTCTTCCAGCCTGGCGTTTCTCATGATGTACTCTGCATGTAAGTTAAATAAGCAGGGTGACAACATACAGCCTTGATGTACTCCTTTTCCTATTTGGAACCAGTCTGTTGTTCCATGTCCAGTTCTAACTGTTGCTTCCTAACCTGCATACAGGTTTCTCAAGAGGCAGGTCAGGTGGTCTGGTATTCCCGTCTCTTTCAGAAATTTTCCACAGTTTATTGTGACAAATACAGTAGAAGGCTTTGGCATAGTCAATAAAGCAGAAATAGATGTTTTTCTGGAACTCTCTTGCTTTTTCGATGAGGCTTATTTCAAGCTCAGTACAATGCAAACCTGGTTCCTTATGTCCTCTAAGCTGCTTCTCCTCTGTATGGGGAATTCTTATTCCCAGCCAGGTGACAGAAGCTGAAGTCACCTTGGCCTAAATGCCAGCCCTCCTTCAGGCCAATCCTAGTGCCAACCCTCAGGTCTCCAGCCTCACAGGGTGTCTGGAATATGGCCAGCACCAACTCCATGCTGTCTCAATGTAAGAAGCAGCTGATAGTCAGGAATAAAACATAGGATGCCCAGGGTTTCCCTGGTGGTCCAGTGGCTAAAATTCCATGCTCCCAATTAAGGGGGCTGGGTTCATCCCTGGTCAGGGAACTAGATTCCACATGCCACAACTAAGAATTCAAAAGATCCCATGTGCTACAACGAAGACCTGGCAGAGCCAAATCAATAAATATTAAAAAACAAATAAACACAGGACTTCCTCCTCAGGAGCTTCCAATCTAGTGACAGAAAATAAACAAGAAGTAATCAACATGTGATTATAAACTGTGAGGAGTGCTGGCAGGGGAACAGGTGGGGAGAGAAGAAAGTGATTGGGGCTGGGGGGCTCACTGCGAGGGGAGACCAGGGGCATCATATCCCCATGAAGAGGAGCCAGGATGTGAAGAGAGAGCGTGGCGTGGGCATTTTAGGAAGACGAAACTGCATGTCTAGTTTCTTACCGAGACTGGAAAGGTCTCCAGGAGTGAAGGGAACAGAAAACCAGACAGTGTGGGAGGGTGGGAGAAGTGGATGGGCCGGATCCCACAGGGTCTCCAGGGGTAAAGCAAGGAAGTGATAGGTGTATTTATTTTTCAGATCGCCTGGCGCTGCATGGAAAAGAGACAGTGGAAGTGCTCAGTGAGGTTAGGGAAGGGCTCTGTGACAGTCCAGGGGAGGTGGGACGGTGGCTTGGAAAGGGGTCAGAAATGGCACAGAAGGAAGACGGAGGATGTAGGACCTACAGCAGGGATGCCTGGTAGAATCTGCCACGAAAGTGGTGAGAGATAGAAGCCAAGGGTGACTTTTAGAGTTCTAGCTTGAGCAACTTCAAGGGGTGGGAATATTTGTGGAAATGGGAAAGAACTGGGGAGATGAGGCTCAGGGGAGAAAATCAAGGGTTTCAATCTTTACATATTAGGTTTGAGATATCTGTGAACTACTCAAGCAGGAGTGTCTGGTACCTAGAGTGGATGGGAGGGGCTGGGGTGGAGAAAGGAGCACGTGTGTGACCAGCAGGAAGGCACCCACACTAAGGGTCGGCAGAGCCCCCCCAGGAGACGCCTGCAGAAGAGAGTGAGCAGGGGCTGTCAGGGAGGTGAGAATGAGAGGGTGTGTTGTCACCAAACACAAGAGAGGAGACAGACAACTTCAGAAGAAGGAAGTGGTCAGCTGTGTCAAACGCTGCTAGAAAGCGGAGGAAGATAAGGAGCAAGGTGACCATCGAATGAGGTGCATGAGGAGGTCACAGACAAGCTGGGGGTGGGGGTGAAAACATGATGGGGGTGACCAGGAAGTGAGGACTGATCAGAAGCCAAGGACTGGGGTCCACCCCCTCCAGTCCCAGCTCTGCACCATCCCCGGGCCCCTCGGCCTGCTGGGCTGAGGTGCTGTTGGTCAAGCCAGGTGCCAGTGACCAGCCTCCTCTGTGCATTTCTGAATCTCCACCCACCCCCCTGACTGTGAACTTCTCAAGGGCGAGGACTGGTCCACTCGCCTCTATCACCACCCAGGTTGTGCAACTAGTGGGGGCCGGGCTCATAACTGCTCCAAGACCTTCTGATGAATGAAGGAGTCAATGCTGCTCATCCTCAGTCCCTTGATCACATCAAGTGACACTGTGGGAAATTGGGTCTGCCTCTCCCTCTCCTCTCAGTGGGTCTTGTATGTGTTTGATGTGTGTGTTTGGGGTTCTGGGATGTGGCCAGGGGGTGGTTCCTGCTTAGAGCAAACTCCAAGAAGATTCAACTCCTGCACCCATCAGCTCTGTTCCATCTCCTAGAACTTTCACCTCCATCCCAAGATGCAAGGAACTAGAGTTGGACAGCCAAGGAGGGCCTTCTGCTCACAGGATGTGTGGCTCAGGGTGAGAAGGGGAAGGCAAATTGGCTCCTGCCCCCAGAGCCCTGCCAGAGGTGGGCTTTGATCTTTTATGCCCCCTCCCCCTTCTGGGGGTCCCAGCCCACTGTCCCCCTCCCCTGGGCCCAGCAGATGTGCAGTCTGCTGACCCGACCACAGCCCAGGGGCAGGCAGCCCCTTCCTGCCTCCCCCAATGTGAGTGGCTTCCTGTTTGCCCGCAGAGGAAGCTGCTGCGTGCAGGTGGGGAGGCGGCGTCTCACAGACCGAGCGCAGGTTGAGGAGTGGAGCTCACCTTCCAGGAAAGGAGCTCTGGGGCTTTCAGCACATAGCCCGCTCTCCTGAGAGGCAGAATGTGAGAGGTCACAGGAAATGGACACCTGACTTCTGACAACCTTTCACAGCGGGCTCCTAGGTGCTGACGTTCATCAGGCCTTTTACAACCAGTAACTCCAAACTCTAGAGTCGAGGGTGGGGGTGGGGTGTCATGAGCCCCATGCCACAGAACAGATGAGGAGACCGAGGGT